CAAGGGATAAATAGGAGGGGACGGCTGAACTCGTTCTCTTCCCTCTTCATCGCTCGCTTTAGATCAGTCAGTCTGTGTGACATATCAAGTTGGTTATATTGTGTTAAGAAGGACAATAGACATGTGGATTCAGTTATATGAAGCCTAGTGAGGACTGTTAGGGGTCAGTTGATTCAGACTATTATTGTGAAACATTCCTGTTGATTCATTGTGTTATATTGAAGCATTTCTTGATTCATGTAATAAAAGGATCAATAGCGAACCTGCATCTTCGAGTCTTTCTACTGTAGTCGATGTTGTGTAGCATGAGTGATTCAACTCGTTACAATTGGCGTTGTCGGGCAGGATAGACTCGGGGAAGGTTACATATATATATACCTCTCTCTCTCTCTCTCTCTCTCTATATATATATATATATATATATATATATATATATATATATATATATATGTGTATATATGTATATATATATATATATATATATATATATATATATATATATATATATATATATATATATATATATATATATATATATATATATATGACTAAAATATTTGACTGGCTTATCTACAGGACAACAGTCTTGCTTATAACGTCTACCTCGTTGGATTATTCCCTCTTAAAATTGAACCAGATTTCTTCCTCTTTTTTAACACTCTATACTGTACATAGGATCAATGCTGGATTAAGCTTAACTGTATTGGAAAAATCTTCGGCTCAGTAAAAATTGTTTTGGAAGCTTAAAGTAAGACATTTTTTATATATAATTCGTCAGATAATCAATGATTCTTAACAGATCGAGGTGTTATATATATATATATATATATATATATATATATATATATATATATATATATATATATATATATATATATATATATATATATATATATATATGCATATATATAGTTGTCTTGTCAATTGTTTAATCCCATCCAGGTGTCTTGCCTATCCCTATCCATATGTCTTACCTATCCCGTCCAGGTGTTTTGTCTATCCCAATCTTGATGTATTGTTTAATCCCATCCAGGTGTCTTGCCTATCCCTATCCATATGTCTTACCTATCCCATCCAGGTGTTTTGTCTATCCCAATCTTGATGTATTGTTTAATCCCATCCAGGTGTCTTGCCTATCCCTATACATATGTCTTACCTATCCCATCCAGGTGTTTTGTCTATCCCAATCTTGATGTATTGTTTAATCCCATCCAGGTGTCTTGCCTATCCCTATCCATATGTCTTATCTATCCCATCCAGGTGTTTTGTCTATCCCAATCTTGATGTATTGTTTAATCCTACCCAGGTGTCTTGCTTATCCTCATTATTCAAACAATCTTGTTTTATAAAAATGGGACTTAAGCTCAAACAATCACATCAAACATAAATCTAACTTACAGCTCTTGTAGAATTTAAACTCGATGCCTAAATTTTTAAGCCAATCAACGCTATTGATTTAGAAGTTATATAATTTAAAATTTGACACAACCCTTCTCGCTGCCATAAATTAAATTTATAAATGAATTGGAAAATTGTTAAATCAATTACTCGTTAAAGCTACACACGGATTAATTTAAACTATACATTATATATAACATGATTAATTGCTTAATGTATTTCAAGTTTGAAACGTAATCCAGTTTTCATTCTGTGTGCAATGTTAATTAGTAGGAAAATCCAAAACCTCGCACTCTGTGTATGTGTGTGTGTGTGTGCGTGCGCGCGTGTGTGTATGTATGTATGTGTGTGTGTGTGCGTGTATGTGTGTGTGTGTGTGTGCGAGTATGCGTGTGTCCGTGTCCGTGTGTCGAACTTCCTATTCCATCAGGCACACTCTTGATTTCTATAATTAACAATATGAGAATCTTAATATCTGAAATCAAATCTTTAAAAATTAACCTTGCCTTACCTGTAAATTATCTTAGAACCCATCATCTGCCACCAAAAAAAAAAAAAATCTTCACCCAACCCAAATCAAGCTGAAATCATTTTATGAGCACAAAGTCAACCAAGGTAGATTATTGAGTTGTCTCATGTTTACAAGAGGGAGATAACTTTAATAAAAACTCTTTATGAAAGTATGAAGAATTACCGTTACTTACTGGCTGAAGTTATCATATCATAGGTAACTAAAGTTCCGAGTTCGAACCCGCGGGTTGATGTGGCTCATAGCTGGCGGACAGCAGGCCGTGTTGGAGAGGCAACTTCAAAAACAAACAAGTGCTATGGGTCGGCGTGGTCGAGTCGGCAAAGCTCATGTTTGCTAAACCGAAAAGATGAGGCTCAACAGCAACTCTTCTAGGCAGATAACTCCAAAATCAAACACCTGCTGCCTTGTAGTTTGTTCGAATGCCATGGAAGCAAATCCTTAAAGAAAAGCAGGCTGGAAGTGGGGTGATACTTAATTGTGTTGGAGGGAATCCCTTTCAATACTAGAATTAAGAACGAAGAAGTCTAAGTAACAAATATTCTAAGAATTTTAGCGATGTTTCTAAAATTACATTTGTAATTTTTAAATATACTAGTAAATGCATTAGGCATAGTTTGCTAATTTTAAAGATGTCAGATTGAAGTTATACAGATGTCATATTGTAGTTTTACAGATGTTAGATTGTAGTTATACAGATGTCATATTGTAGTTTTACAGATGTTAGATTGTAGTTTTACAGATGTCATATTGTAGTTATACAGATGTCAGAGCTATACACAGATGTCAGATTGTAGTTATACAGATGTCATATTGTAGTTTTACAGATGTCAGATTGTAGTTATACAGATGTCTTATTGTGGTTTTACAGATGTCATATTGTGGTTTTACAGATGTTAGATTTTAGTTTTACAGATGTCATATTGTAGTTTTACAGATGTCATATTGTAGTTTTACAGATGTCATATTTTGGTTTTACAGATGTCAGATTGTAGTTACACAGATGTCAGATTGTAGTTTTACAGATGTCATACAGATGTCCTATTTTAGTTTTACAGATGTCAAATTGTGGTTTAACAGATGTCATATTGTCGTTTTACAGATGTCAGATTGTAGTTTTACAGATGTCTTATTGTAGTTATACAGAAGTCAGTGCGGTGTCTAGAATTGAGTCACTAAAGTCACAACAATAACGGTACAGTAGACTGTAAAAGTGGAGTCACAGATTTAAGAAGTTTGCTATGCCAACTTAGAAATTATAAGGGCACCAGTCATGTAACTGTTAAATATTTAGGTTTATAGTTTCTTACCCCCTCCCATACAAACCAACTGTTCCCTTAAAACATCTGTTAAATATTTAGGTTTATAGTCCCCCCCCCCCACCCCATACAAACCGTTCCCTTAAAACATCTGTTAAATATTTAGGTTTATAGTCCGCCCCCCCCCCACCCCATTCAAACCGTTCCCTTAAAACATCTGTTAAATATTTAGGTTAATAGTCCCCCCACCCCATACAAACCGTTCCCTTAAAACATCTGTTAAATATAAAGCTTTATAGTCCCCCCCCCCCCCCCACACACACACACAAACCGTTTCCTTAAAACATTTGTTAGTTACGAGTTTCAAAGTTAACTTCCGGATAAACTTTGCGTTAATCCTCGGATTAACGACACAACAGTACACCGGTTTACGTCAAATGGGGAACGGTCGTTAAAACAGTTTTAATCAACTCTGAGGCGCCCGGGGACAAACTTTTCGATTTGCACCCCCCCCCTCAAACTTTCGATTTGCATCCCCCCCCCCCCCTCAAGATTTCGATTTGCACACCCCCCCCCCACCCCTCAAACTTTCAATTTGGACCCCCTCAACCTTTCAATTTATTTTCCCAACCCATTTTGGCGCCCCCTAAGGTCGGCACCCGGGGACATATGTACCCCCCCCCCCGCCCCCTCCCCTCGCTACGCTACTGATTCAACTAATCTAATAAGCCGTGGAAGTTGTGAACTACTTTTTATAGCCCATTAAAAAATAATCAATGTGAAAGTAAAACGGTTTTTTTTTAATCGTAAGAGGAACAATAACAGGAGAAAATAAGGTCACTGGCCAAATAAACAAAAATTTAATGTACCTATTTCACAGCGAATTTTATTAAAAATAAATAGAGATATTTCTAACACAAAAACACAACACATAGACACACACAAACCCATACATAATTACAAAGCTGTACACCCCCCCCCCTCAAATATACACCCCAATACACACACAAACAAACGGACCCACACACAGACACACCAGCAGCCACACCAATCACTCTAACTCATAGAAACATTTAACACACCGATACAAACAGGCACAAAACGAAAGCACAAGCAAACACGACGTGCTTTTAAAACGGTTAACAATTTAGTTGAAACCATTAGTTATACAATATTATCACACTTCCTATAAATATATATATATATATATATATATATATATATATATATATATATATATATATATATATATATATATATATATTTATAAATATATATATATATATATATATATATATATATATATATATATATATATATATGTATATGTATATATATATATATATGTATATATTTATATATCTATATGTATTCACATATATATTCACACTTCATGAGTGTTGATAAATGACACACACACATATATATATATACCCTATATATATATACCCTATATATATATATATATCCTATATATATATATATATATATCCTATGTATATATATATATATATATATATATATATATATATATATATATATATATATATATATATATATATATATATATATATATATATAAACGGTTAACAATTTGGTTGATACCGCTAGATACCCAATGTAACAACATTCCTGTATATATTTATATACACACACACATATATACATAATATATTATGACACTTCATGTATGTATATAACTACATGGATATACTCATGTATGTATATGGTATATATACATGTATGTATATATATATATATATATATATATATATATATATATATATATATATATATATATATATATATATGCCTCACACGTTCCCTCTAATTTTCGGATCCCCATAGAGAATGTATCTAAAAATCTGGCCAACAGTCGAATTATCTGCCTGAATGGCCAACGTTTCTTTGGGAATTCTCCCGCTGTTGACCCACATGTGCATGGCGTAGTTCTGGCTCCAGTTGTACGGGTGGCTGGCGTTGACCAACTTCTCTATCTCGTACCAGTTGGGCTGGTACAGCTGTTTCCTCACGTTTACCAGACGATTCGTGTTGTTGAAGTACATGTTTTGTGAGACCTGTTGGGTGGGAGGACGGGATGTCACGTGTTGAGTTCAATGACCAAGTTCAAAGATTGGTTCATATATCTAAATGTTTCTTCAAAGATCATATATAAAATGTATGCTGACTATAAAATGAATATAAAAGGTAAAAGAATGCAAGGAAGGCCAGGGGAGACGTGGAAGCAGCCGGCAGAGGCAGGACTGTCATGGGGGACTTCCAAGAAAATTTCCGGTGACCGACAAAAGTGGAGGAAGCTTTCTTTAGCGGCCTTATGTGTCTTGGGCACGAAAAGGAAAAGATGATAATAAAGTTGAGTAAAGCAAAGCTCCTATTTATTGTTAATATATTTCTCGACCTCGGCATGTGAACGGATTATGTGGTCAGCACTATGCCCAGCCGCTTTTACTTTCCCTAACGTAAGCCAGGTACCCCTTAGAACTGGGTGGACTCTAGGAGGTCATACATCCAGAGATCTGAACTGGATACCTTCTGTTTAAAAGCCGAATGCTCTACTATTCGACCATGCCGTATAATTATAAGGCAGCGTAAATTATTTGTATTCCTTTCAAAGAAAGAATAATTTAATTTTATTATAACCATTACCTTTATTAAACCAACTTGTACTGAATTTATACAAACAATCTTAGATTGTCAACATACATATTTACCCTCAAAGAATATCCACCTACACATAAAGTTTCTTGTCCAGATAAATGTGTATGCAGATAATGTGTCGGGGTAGATTCGGGGTCTTTTCCAGATAGTCCCCGCAAAAAGTAACCCCCGCCACCCAGTAGCGATTTAAAAAAAAAATATAGAACTTGTACTTTCAGATTTTATTGATTTTGGACATGTCATTTACATTCTACATGAAAAGTTCTGTATTTGGTATCTTTAACTGTAACCTCAGTCCTAACCCCAACCCTAATCCTAAGCCTACTCTAGAGGCGGATATGGAGTTGTTGTTTTTTTTAAGGCGTAGGTTTATCAAATATACAAATGTCTAGACAACAGAAATAAGTCACAGGTGTCGGAGCTTAACTTACTGTACACTTTTTGCACTAGTGGCGGTGCTTATCTGGACAAGACCCCCCGAATCTCCCCAGATACATTTTCTGCATTCAAAATTTACCCTCATAGAACATGCAAATCTACCATCATACGATATCCACAAACATATCCTCACAGATAACCACATACAAACAACCCACAGAATAACCACATACAAACAACCCACAGAATAACCACATACAAACAACCCACAGAATAACCACATACAAACAACCCACAGATAACCACATACAAACAACCCACACATATTCCACATACAAACAACCCACAGATATTCCACATACAAACAACCAACAGAATAACCACATACAAACAACCAACAGAATAACCACATACAAACAACCCACAGATAACCACATACAAACAACCCACAAATAACCACATACAAACAACCCACAGATAACCACATACAAACAACCCACAGATAACCACAAACTAACCTTCATCGAGTTGTACCCCCAATCTTTGTTCTTGAAGTTCCTATAATGTTCGTACCACTCCTTGATAAAAGGGTGATGTCTTTTGGCCAATATAAAAGCGTTTCCCAGTCCAGTAGCGTTGTCTAGCATTCCCATCGTTAGGTCGTTATCTGGGTCAAGATAATTTATTTTGTTGTAAATTGGATACATTATGCTCTTTGGGGATATAAAACTTACATTGACCAAATAACAAAATGCACATGGACCACAACTTTTTCAATAGCAGAAATATCTAATTTGTATACACTTAGTCATTTTTGGCAAACATAAAATTAGAATAAAACATACACCATTGTTTACAATAAACATAATTTAAAATATATTATGATATTTTGGCCATACAAGTATTTAGGATGAAGAGAGTATCTGATTCGCAAGACGTTGTTTTATCTCGAATCTGTTCACCGACGTCTTGCTCAATATCTAGTAAATAAGCAGGTCATAAATAAACTAACCAAGTAGGTCATCTATAAACTAACCAAGTAGGTCATCTATAAACTAACCAAGTAGGTCATCTATAAACTAACCAAGTAGGTCATCTATGAACTAACCAAGTAGGTCATCTAAAAACTAACCAAGTAGGTCATCTATAAACTAACCAAGTAGGTCATCTATAAACTAACCAAGTAGGTCATCTATGAACTAACCAAGTAGGTCATCTAAAAACTAACCAAGTAGGTCATCTATAAACTAACCAAGTAGGTCATCTATGAACTAACCAAGTAGGTCATCTAAAAACTAACCAAGTAGGTCATCTATAAACTAACCAAGTAGGTCATCTATAAACTAACCAAGTCGGTCATCTAAAAACTAACCAAGTAGGTCATCTAAAAACTAACCAAGTAGGTCATCTATAAACTAACCAAGTAGATCATCTATAAACTAACCAAGCAGGTCATCTATAAACTAACCAAGTAGGTCATCTATAAACTAACCAAGAAGGTCATCTATAAACTAACCAAGCAGGTCATCTAAGCTCCTTAAAACCACCATGTCCGTGTCCAGATAAATCCCACCGTTCATGTAGATGGTCTGGAGCCGGACAATGTCCGAGTGGTGCTGTTTTATTTTGATTCTAGAACCTGATATCTCTAGCGGGGCCTCCCTGTACACAAACCTGGAATTATAAATTTTGTATTCATTGAATTAGAATATAATAGATTCCTAGGGGAGCTTATATTTAGAAAAACCTATAACAGTGTAACACATATGGTTACCAGCCAAGGGGGGATAAGATAAAGTTGTAATTCATTGGGTTGCGGCCCCTGTGGGACCGCAACTGAACTGTTGATGTAGTTGCTTTGCATGCTCTGCTGTGAGCGATTTTACCTATGGGTAGTTTCGTCCCTAGCCGTGTCAGTCACACGCAAGGCTGCTGTCTGTGGACACGGAGGGTGACGGTACCAAGAGGTAGACATAACAATGTAGACCTAATGAAGGTAGTGTGGTTATATAAATTATGTTTATTGTTAGAATACTTTTTTGTGTATTCTTGCTAGTGCTGTATGTTGCATACTAATTAGGTTGAGAGTTATTTAAGTATTTATTGTTGTATTACTTATTGGTACTTGTTGGCAGTACTGTGTACTAGCCGCAACATACTTTATTGCAACCGTGTATGTTTGTAACTTTTTCTTTACATTTTTTTTAGGGCTACAGTTTTTACAGTTTTGTTTTCCTTTTTGGTTTGTTTCATTATTCATCTCTAATCGTCGTACTACTGTTGTTCTACATCGCCGTCATGGCTCGATGTACTGTTGTACTGTTGTACTTGACAAAAACTGTCGGTGTCAGTGTGTCCTAAATCTCAGGGTCAACCCATCTTAACCACAACACCTCAGTGGGTAAAAGCATTCCCATTGAGTGAGGGTTACAACAGATATAGCAATCACAGTTTCAGTTGAGTGACATGAACAAATATACCTGACTATCGTGCCCGTCACCGCGAGTTGCTACTGAGATAAAAGAAAGTCTGACGAAATATTTTAAAATGGTTTCATCAATGCCTTACCAATCCTATATTCTAGACACGTTACCTTGTTTTCTAAAACTGGGTTATTTAAATGCTGAGTTTTACCGCTTACCCCTTACCCACTATGCAGGACGTCCAGCTAACGTATACAAAGTACTGAGATAGTCAGTTTGTATCTATGGGTGCCAAACCGTGTAATGATAAAAGATGTATCCTGTCGGGTATCGCCCATAAGACATGTTAATTTTAACTCTTCTCGGGAGTTTCATGGCACTTGTATGATCGGTGTGAAACTGCATTCGACTTTAAATTTTGTATAAACCGTTTAAGGAAAAAAAGTCGCACCCTCCTAGTGCGAAGTTTCAAAAGATTTTGGCAGAAGCCGCCCCTGTAGTATTCTCATCAACTCCCCGAAGTTTCATTCTGTGTATAGAAGAAAATCGCATAGCACCCTGCCGGGGCGCCGCTACTGCGAAATTTAAATTCTTTTTTCACATAAAAATATTCTCTTCTGGGGTATTCTCAACGAATTCCCAAAGTTTCATGGCGATAGGATGAAGGGTGTAGTAATACATAAAGAATAACCCCCCCCCCCCCACACACACACAAACAAACCCACCCACAAGCATACATATATATATATATATATATATATATATATATATATATATATATATATATATATATATATATATATATATATATATATATATATATATATATATATATATATATATATATATATATGTATATATACTAGGGACATTCAGGTAAAAGACAAACTCACCTGACGTTAGGGACATCCCGCACTATCAACTCCCAGAATTCCCCAACCGGATGTTGATCGCCGATGACGTAGATCGCCCTTGGAACAATATGTCGTTGTGCGGCAACAAAAGCCACGTAATTCCATAAATGAAATGTGTAGTGTCCATACGTCACAAAATAAACTATTTTAGGAACTTTTGTGCTGTTAGCCAACGCGCATGCGCTAGTTTCCAAATGACTAAAATGGATCCGTTCTAAAAACATTCGACACAAAATATCAGATTTTTCCGCGAATTCATCGCAAATCAACTTGCTATTTATAGACATCATACTTTTCTCAACTGATGCTAATAATTTATAAACACTGCATGTTGAGTTCAAGGCTGAAGGGTAGGTAACTCCAAAATTATCAGATTTATTTTCGGATTTCCACGAATCCCAGAACCTCGGCATTGAGGTTACTAAGAATGGATTAAATGACCATTCAGTCGTTTTTGTTGCCGGGTCAAACATTTTTAACGTTAAAGTTGAGTTGAAGTTACCTAGAAATAACACTATGACAAAACAGGCGAAGAAGAAAACATACACTAAACACAAGTACCTCTTCTGCTGAGTTAGAGGGGACATTATAACAACAGTTCTGATATAGGAGCAAGGTATTTCGGAACAACAGGATCACATGGAGTCTAGTGAATAAACAACTTAATTTGCCTGATTTATAGTATGTTGAATGTGATTCTCTTCATTGCTAGTCGATCATTATCACTTGTAGAATTTATCTCTCGTGATCCGGGACTATATCCACCATTTAAACTGTACCTACAAAAAAATTACAAAAATTAAAATCATTAAATCTCAGAAAAAAAATATAACTCAGCGCAATTAAACTTTAACCAATGAACGATTAAAATAGCGATGTTCCACGAATGATGTTGTTATAATGTCGTCTCTAAATAAATAAATTGTTATTTCAACTGGCCGAAAGTATTGCAATTATTATCATCTTTTTAAACAGAAGATAGTTATTTTGGTCCTCTCTTAAACATCTGTGGAACGCCTATGTAATGGTCCTCTCGTGAACACATCTCTAAAGTGTTCGAAACGATCAAGTTTTCTCACAAACTTAAGGAACTAGTTTTATTTGTTTACATTACATTCTAATTTTATTAATCCCTTTATTTGACTATACTAAAATCTCTTCACTACATAATTATTTACCTCTTAATATATAACAGCACACAGCAGTAAGATACTACAACAGAACATTCATTTCCTTTGTGAAATACCAGAATAGAACAAAATATTTCGCAAGTTACTTTAGATTGGAGGCTCTAGCTTCAATTAAATCATTTATAAAATACATAATGCTATGTATTATGTGCCATAGATGTATGGGTTAGCACTTGGGACACTTCCAACCGTATGTTAACTTGCTGACGTCAGAACTCATATAAAGTTACAGCTCCCCCTTATAATAAAAAAGTACCGCCATTAATTTAATCCCTTTTTTTTTCTAAGGTGTGTTGAGGGCAAATGAGATCAACTGGGGATTGTTAGACTTACAAACACAAACAGCTGCTGCATTTGTGACAACATTGTTGACATTAAGTAAACACAGGCGCTCCAAATATTTATTTGTGACAACATTGTTGGCTTAAATCAAACATACGAGCTCCAAATATTTATTAAAAATTCGTGACAAAACTGTTGACTTTAAGCAAACACACAATCTCCACGTGTTTAATAAATAAGCCTGGCATCAATTCTTGGGAATTTATTTACGATCTTTTAAAAATGTAATGATTTTTTTATCATACTTTGTAAATCTACTTTAGCTTAATACAATTAATGATTTAATGATTAAACAATATGTTTATTGTCGACTTGATTTAAAACACATGATTCGAATTGTTTAGATATCTAATTATTCTTATATATTTTCATTTTATAAATATTAAAAAGTAGAAATTAAACAAATACAAACCTTAACAATAAACAAAAGATCAAATAAATCGAAAATTTAAAATAAGAACATAAATTATATTTTGATATAATAGTAATGTCTCTCCGAAAATCTTCTTAACTCTTGGATTTTTACTTCAATTTCTGAAAACAATTTTAATTTTATTTTCATTAAGCCAACTTGTTATCAAACTTGTTCTATTTAAGACAAACTCTCCACCCTATAAACAGCTGACAAACACGTTTTCCTCCAGGTAGTCGATTGATCGAACACGTAACAGAACAAGAACAAACAAGTATGTAATCCCATTTAATCCCACTTGGTTTAATCGGTCTAGACATGCGCTCTAACTTGGTCTAATCTCTCTAAACATGCTCAGCCTGCACAAACAAACTCTGCAAACTTCCGTCTACTAATCTCATTTTAATCTGTCCCGTTTTAGGCTACTCACTTTAGAAGGATAAACGGATTAAAGCGCTGAATCCAAATTAAATAGTTAAACTATTTAAATAAAAAGTATGTTAAAAATTATAGATTTAACTCTTACATATAGAAAAATAAATAAAAATTGCGAAAAAAAAAACGTTTTAATAACAAGCTTTTAGGTAATAATACACTAAAAAAAGTAGATAATAAATTATTTTCTTTATATTTACAATAATACAAGTCATTTCTATTCACTATTTGGGTAGTGTTGAAACCCCTATCGACACAACTCAGAATGTTACAAAACCGATGTCAGTTAGGCTCAAACGGAAATTTAACAGTATACACAATTTTATTGAACACAGAACTTCATCCTGAATCCGTAAATTTAGCTGGATATGGAAATTTAAAAAAAAAAAAACTTAACAGGTACGAAATTTAACCAAAACGGAACTTTATTCGGAACCGGCATTTCAACCGGTAACGAAATGTAACAGCAAACGAACATAATCCGGAGACTGAAATTTGACTCTAAATTTAACCGTAACCTAAAATTTAACTGAAATCGGAACGAAATTCAACTGGAAACGGAACTATTGGAAGCTGCATTTTAACCTCAGCCGGAAATTTAATAAATGTAACCTGAACCGCAATCCTAATACTAACACTTACTGTGAGTATTATATTTCACGTATTTTTGTCAATATCTATATACACTTCTAAAAATAGACATTTAATTTAGTGGTTATCTTTTGCCTTTATAATCTATGTCAACATTTTTATGGTTGAGTAGTTTTTGTGCATTCGATTTTTACTTTCTCGTATATACAGAGTATACAGAAAGTATTGTAATCGTGCAAAAAAATTTTACACCTCCCTGAGTCGGAAAAACATAATTTTGCAATCTTGTCCGTATGTCTGTGTGTGTATGTGTGTATGTGTGTGTGTCTGTAAACACGATAACTTGAGTACCGTTACAGCTAGAATGATGAAATTTCATATATAAGTGTTATATCAAATTTGTAGATCCGTATAAACTTTTCCGATAACCGAAAGTGGAACTTTTTCTACTTTCAATTTTTCAAAAGCCTATAACTTGAGTATTACTGTTTCCAATAGATAAATGAAATTTCATATATAAGTAAAAGATATTATTCTTTGCCTTCTTTAAAATTTTTGAGTAATTTCCGTTAACGAGAAGTAGTAATTTAGGCTATTTCCGATTTTTCAAAAAACGCATTTGAAATTATAAAGTACTAATAGTATCCCGCACTATTATGCACATTTTGTTTGGCGTTCACTTGGTGTGCAATTCTTTTTTTCTACGAGATTCTATTCTATTATAAAAAGTTTAAGTAATTAAAAATGGATTAAAAATATTGTCTATACCCCGATTTGCCAACCCCCGAAGTGTTATATAAGAATATTCGAGACAGCTTAGGGGAGATCACTCCCGGTTTATTTAATACTTTTTTTAATTCAAAAATCAATGACGCCATTTTCTTGTATGTATAGACGCAAACTCTAGACCAGGGGTTCCCAACCTTTTTTTACTCTAGAGCACATTCTAAAATATCGGTAGGGTGGCGGGCACCACCTATTTTAAATCGACAAACTCCTTTCCCCCCTCAAACTTTCGATTTGCACACCCCCCCCCTCAAACTTTTGATTTTCATCCCCTTCAACCTTTCAATAATGTTTACGAAAAAAATTTTGTCTCTGTCGAATAGTGAGAGGCGGGCACATACGAATCGTTCGGCGGGCGCCATGGCGCCCGCAGCACGGGGTTGGGAACCCCTGCTCTAGACATTGAAACATTTTATCTGGTAATCTCGAACTCTGAGCGCGGAATTCCGGGAAAGCGTAATTTGATAAAGTGCGTTAGTGGTTGAGATAAAGTTTGCGTTTTTGGTGAGTTAGCGATTGCGTTTGTTTTTTCTTTTGCGTTTAAATGTGTGTTTGTGTTTGCGTTTGTGTTTGTGTTTGGTTATGTTCTGTTCCCAAGTTGGTATATTTCAAAAAGATTCACCGTGGCGAAGCACGGGTATGCAGCTAGTATATATATATATATATATATATATATATATATATATATATATATATATATATATATATATATATATATATATATATATATATATATATATATATATATATATATATATATATATATATATTATATATATATATATATATATATATATATATATATATATTATATATATATATATATATATATATATATATATATATATATATATATATATATATATATATATATATATTTATTTATTTATTTATTTATATGCATGTATATAAATATTAAAATGTTATGTCGGTCGCTCTTCCAATAACGAAATCCTGTCTAAGCCATTGACAAAAATCTAACTAAGTAAATGGAGACGATGATAAATTCGTAGCTGAAAAGTATATGATTGGAACTACTGGACATTCTATACACCCATTATTGATTAACGTTTAGGTTAACAACGCTTGTAGGGGGTATTGGATTTAATATCGCGACCAGGTGTTAAACAACACACAAAATCTTTACCATAAGCCAAGACCAGTTTTTCATAGGTCGAAATGTTTTATAAGTAAAATGGTCATACCGCAAATCGATTTAATCTTGGTATTAACAGTACTGTAGCAATGAACAACTTTCGCGGCTGATTAGTTGATTGGACGGGAATCAGGTTACTGGGTCATACGTTAACTGGCATTAATTAAAATAGAAAAAAGATCTAACGAAATTCCTGGTGTCTTTTTTTTCGATCTGACCTTATTAAATTAAATATTGAAACTTGACGTAAATGTTTATAATTAGACACTCGAATTTTGTAAACTTTTCCAAGTTAAATTTATCAAACATTACAAGATTTTGTAACATCTTTAATCTTTACCTTGTTTAATCTTGACGTCATACATTTCAAAAACAAAAACAAAAATTCATAAAAAACGTTTTAATAACAAGCTTTTATGTAATGATGCACTAAAAAGTAGAAAATAAATTATAGACTACTATTTAAATAACTATAAAGAAAAGCGTGGGTCACTTTAGTATCTATTGGATACCTTTACTAATGTTAAGGAACACACCCACGCTTTTCTTTATAGTTATTTAAATAGTAGTCTATAATTTATTTTCTACTTTTTAGTGCATCATTACATAAAAGCTTGTTATTAAAACGTTTTTTATGAATTTTTTTTTCAGTACTTTACATGTTTTATTTACAATAGAGTTACATGACTAAAAACCATTGCGCGCCTACTGAACATCACGTTCAGTAGGCGCGCAATGGTTTTTGAACGCAGCCATTACGTGATGGCGCAGCTATTGAAGGTGATGACGCGTGTGGTGTGGTTGGCTAGACATGCCTACTAATTCGGTCCAAATTTTAATTAATTCATAAAAAATTAATTAGGCATCCAATTAAGTCAAATTTAGTTTCAGATTGCATTGTCTTCATGTCTTGACCCACGTGCCAACTGTGAATCGTATCGGTCAAGTAGAACTGTCCGAATTTTCACTCCTGCGTTTCCGTCTAGACAGACAGACAGAGGAAGTGAGTTAAATAAAAGCTTGTAAAAATTAACTATTGAGAAAACGAAAACCCATCACAATTAAAAGCACGCTTTTTTATTAACCAGAGTCTATAAAACGTACTACAGCAAAATCCTACCTTCTCATTTTAAAGTCTTCGGGATTATCTCCCTGCCATTGATAACATTCTGATCTCCCCTGTATTTAAACAACACTTACGCCCCTTCACCTCTAGATAATCTCAACAAACTTCCCATATCAAGTTGCCTCTAATCCAATTAAAACCACTCCCACATTCTCCACCAAACTTCGTGAAAACGAGCCCAGTGAGTACAGTAGCGAGATAACAAACACGCGCCCCGTGAGTACAGCGAGATAACAAACACGCGCCCCGTGAGTACAGCGAGATAACAAACACGAGTCACCCACGTGTTGCATCTGCTTATCCCCGCCCACTTTCTGCCCACGTCTGACAAAAAACTGGTCAAAACCCTGAGATCTATGCTAACTAATCTTGAGATACACGTACACAAATTCTAACTTGTCAAACCTTCAAATCTATCTATGCTAAAAAAAATCTTGAGATACACGTACACAAATTCTAACTTGTCAAACCTTCAAACTACCTATGCTAAAAAAAATCTTGAGAGATACGTACACAAATTCTAACTTGTCAAAACCCTCAAATCTATCTATACTAAAAAAATCTTGAGATATACGTACACAAATTCTAACTTGTCAAAACCCTCAAATATATGCTAACAAATATTGAGATCCATTCACTACCGATTCGACATTCTCAAAACCCTCAAATCTATGCTAAAATCTTAAGATCGTGAGTATATTAATCCATTTCCATTTAAATGTTAAAAAACGCCTTTTAAAAAACGCGAAAAAGCAGCTAAAATTCAGTTTTATCATTCCTTTTCATAAGTGTACACACTGTGTGAAGCTTCTAAACACGCACTGTGGTGAGCTTAGCTTCTAAACACGCGCTGTGCGAAGCTTACCTTCTAAACACGCACTGTGGAGAGCTTAGCTTCTAAACACGCACTGTGCGAAGCTTTCCTTCTAAACACGCACTGTGAGGAGCTTACCTTCTAAACACGCACTGTGTGGAGCTTACCTTCTAAACACGCACTGTGCGGAGCTTACCTTCTAAACACGCACTGTGCGGAGCTTACCTTCTAAACACGCACTGTGCGAAGCTTACCTTCTAAACACGCACTGTGGAGAGCTTAGCTTCTAAAAACGCACTGTGCGGAGCTTACCTTCTAAACAGGTACTGTGGGGAGCTTACCCTTCAAAACAGAATGGTACGCATTAAGCGGAGCTTAGCTTCTGAACGTTGTACGCACTACCTTAGCAGTTCCCCCATCTTCATCTACCAAAATCAACTCACACGTCATCTGTTTTTAAATCGGTACAAGAAATGTAAAAATCTCAAACTATTTGAACATACTATCCACTGTTCTTCACAACCAATTTCAACGGATTATAGAGCGACGCGCACCAACAATTTATAGTTACTGTTATCGATTACTTTTGCACCAACAGTTTGATAGTTAATGTTATCGATTACTTTTGTTTTCACGTAAGGATTCGAAAAGGAGTAATGATTTATTAGCTACACAAGATGTTCATGTTTTTCAAAATCAAAGCGCAGTGAATCGATGAACACAGGTGGATATTAATTGTGTGTGGGGGATAACGAGGAAACGAGAATAACGAACATAAATTTTTGTTTTTGTTTTAGAACCTCAACAGTAAACAGAAAAGTGTGATGTCCTTAAATAACGTGTAAAAAAAGTAAAGATCCCCTTTCAGACTTAAAGATCCATACGGCTGTTGAAATAGAATTCATCTTTCTTGAACCCCCGGCATTTGAAGTGCGGGTCAACCCGCCTTTACTTTCTTTAAAATGAGTCAGGTACCAATCAAAGCTGGGTGGACTCCATTGTTTCTCCAGACTTGAAAGGGGCACTTGAAATTTTCCGGGGGGGGGGGGGGGCGGACTAAAATTTTCGGGGGGTCGGACACTGTTAAAAGTATATATTTACTATATAAATTCCATTTCGTTCAGGGGGCGGTAGACTTTCTTCGAGGGGGGGGGGGGGCGAAGAGTCCACTATGGTGGAATGGTCCAAAATCCGAACTCGAGACATTTGGACTAGCGGTAGAAATAACGTGCACCTTCCTGTTCAATGTGTAAACCCTACGTTTTCTGACCCATTGAATTCATATCGAAGTCTGTAACACCAGAACGTTTGCGATATTTCAGTCAGGTACGAAGTGATGACTTTACAAAACCGAGTAGACTGAACTTTTAAAAATTACGTTGCATTTTTTTTTTAAATTTTAGCCACATAATCTTCAAATAGGGAACGACGTGGTCCAGTAGCGTAGCGAGGGGGGGGCGGGGGGGACATATGTCCCCGGGCGCCGACCTTAGGGGGGCGCCAAATTGAAAGTTTGAGGGGTGGTGCAAATGAAAAGTTCGAGGGGGGGTGCAAATGAAAAGTTCGAGGGGGGGGGTGCAAATCGAAAATTTGCTCTCGAGGGGGCGCCAAATTGGAAGTATGTCCCCGGGCGCCGGGAAGGGTCGCTACGCCTCTGACGTGGTCAGACGGTAGAGTTCACGACGTCTGATCCAAAAGTCTCGGATCTCAGGCCCGCATCTGTAGAACATCCGTGAGTACACCCACCCAGCTCTGATGGGTAACTGACTCACGTTTGGGAAGCTAAGACAGCTGAACACGCCGTGGTCGTTGAAACAGATGAGCTCTACTTCATCTGTTCATATCTTTTGTTCACGTAAAAAGACGATGAATGTTCAAATATGGCGGCATCTGAAGTATTTGATGTTATTCTTATCCAGAATGACTAGTGTAGACTGAGTCATGTCATTTGTTTCCATGGAAACCTGTATAATCACAGACCACATGGGTTTTTTATTTATCACAGGTTAAATGGCTAACGTACATCGCTTGTCTTGAAATTTCATACAAAATTCTTTGAGGCTATCTAGACATCAATTCACTGGATATAACTCCTGTTATATTAGCCTGCGTTGACGTTGTCATTACCTCCCCTTTTTAATTTAATGTTGTTTTTTCGCCCTGGGGTCGTAAGCAAAAGATCACGATAAAAATGCATAAATAGTGTCCAGTTAAAAATGTACAAATAGTGTCCAGTTAAAAATGTACAAATAGCGTCCAGTTAAAAATGTACAAATAGCGTCCAGTTAAAAATGTACAAATAATGTCCAGTTAAAAATGTACAAATAGTATCCAACTGAAAACGTCGTATTGAAAATGTACCAAAATTGTCGGGGTGGACAATTTGTGGTGTTGACTAAAAATGTCGCAAAAATTGACTTTAAATTTCCGTGTAGCCCAGAGATATTATTCTAGAGTATTCCCCATTACTAGTGCACAATTTTAATTTTATTTTACTCATTATCATTTTTATTTTTCGTTCCTAAATGAGCATAGGGCATCTGTCAAAACTTTCCTCTTTCCACGGTCTCCAGACACTCAGCTGTTCTCAATCCCTTCCTACATATTCAATATTCTACATCGCCATGTTAAGTCTTTCAATGCCCTACACATTTTAGAGACCAGTGCTTTCAATATAGAAAAACAAATTAGTTCTTTTAACTTATGTTCAGTGCAATTAAAATCTTATTTTTATAAACCTTTTTATATTAGTTCCATTAACATTACAAATAAAGAATTCACATGTTGTTTACAGGGAAGGAGGTGTATATATTCCCCAAGTGTAAATTTTATAATTTTTTAACAGATCAATTTTATTGTGAACTGTCTAAACATTTGTCCAGAACATTTGTCCAGAACATTTGTCTAGAACATTTGTCCAGAACATTTGTCCAGAACATTTGTCTAGAATCATCAACGGAACTTACCCTTGATTAAGTGGCAGAGATTTAATTAATTAACAAAATTAGGAATCGCACAAAAAAGACAATTTGAAACTTTTATTTTTTAATATTAATTTAAAAATCAAATGTATTAATAATCCTATTTTATAACAGCCATGCATTAGACATCAGGTTTTTTCCTCACTTTCGGATCCCCGTAGAGAATATATCTAAAAATCTGGCCAACAGTTGAGTTGTTCACCAGAATGGCGTCCGTCCTAAGCGGTATTTGGCCGCTGTACTTCCACAGGTGGATGGCGTAGTTGTGGCTCCAGTCGTAGACGTGGCTGGCGTTGACCAGCAAGTTGATCTGGTTCCAGTTGGGCTGGTACACCTGCTCCCTCACGTTGACCACACGGCTGGGGTCAGTCAAGTACATGTCGCGGGGTACCTGGTGGTGGGGTGGGGCGAGCGGTCAGAGGTTAAATCCAAGTAGGTCAAGCACACTTTCAAAACTGACGGTTCATAAAGAAGTAGTTTAGCGTAGTCAGCACAAACCCTAATCGCCTTTACTCTCCCTGTAGGGAATCAGGTACCCACCAGAGCTGCGCGGACTCAGGATTCGAACTCGGGATTCGAACTAGAGGCTTTCGAATTAGCATTCAATGCTCTACCACCCGACTAAATTCTAGGGCTACGTTCGAATACAAAGGGCCGAAAGCCAGTAAATGGATAATTTCAAAATCCAAAAAGCAATAAAATACGACGTATAATAATAACTAGCCGTCCCGGCCAGGCCCTGCTCTGGCTTCTGTGAAAAACCTTTCTGTTAAAGACCATTACCTGTGTGTTAAGTAATCATTCTATACCCGGCATTGCCCACCCAAACCACCACCAACCAAAACAACAAAACGCAAACATAACGCTAACACAATTACAAATACAAACGAAAACAAAAACCTAACAACAAACCCAACCACAACCACAAACACCAATACAAACACAAAGAAAAAACAAACAAAAAAGCAAACGAAAACAAAAACCTAACAACAAACTAAACCACTAACACCAATACCAACACAAAAAAACAACGAAAAAGCAAACGAAAACAAACCAAATCCAAACGCAAAACCAACCAAAAACACAAATACAAACCCAAAGAAAAAAACACAAACAAAAACGAAAAAAGAAAGAACAAAAACGAACCAAATCAAAACGCAACCACTAACGCAAACCCACCTAAACACAAAGAAAACACTAACGCGAACATAAACGCCCGGGGCAGAATCGCCTGTTTTAGCTTAATGAACGACTATAGTACCCCAACTTATTCATAGTCTTTTGCACTCACTTAAACGAACGCGCCTGTTTCAATTTAATGAACAATTATAATACTCCAAGCTTATCCGTAAAATACCTACAACATTTGCACTTGATCAATCCCCGCTAATTATGTAATTATTTTTTTTCCCAACACCAAAACAAAGTAATTAAAAAGTAAATTCTTTTCGACTAATGCAATGGTTTTATAAAGGGAAGTAATTGTGTTCTGCCTAATTTATCGAAGGGAAGTAAGCGCTATAGGACTAAATAAAGACATAATTAGAATTTTTGTAAAAGATGATATTTTTTTTAAAATTGTGTTTAATGAACATGCCGACAATTATTAGTTTCAGTTTGAAAAATGAAAATTATTTCCCAACACTTTCAATGGTAATTTTTTAACTCATAAATTTAGACAAATGCGCACGGTAATATTCTAACACTTTAATCCATGGAAGTATGTCAACGATATACATACGTGTTTTTACATACAGAACTGAGCTTTATATATTAGACTAGCCGTCCCGGCCAGGCCCTGCTCTGGCTTCTGTGAAAAACCTTTCTGTTAAAGACCATTACCTGTGTGTTTAGTAATCATCATAAACCCGGCATTGCCCACCCAAACCACAACCAACCAAAACAACAAAACGCAAACATAACGCTAACACAATTACAAATACAAACGAAAACAAAAACCTAACAACAAACCCAACCACAACCACAAACACCAATACAAACACAAAGAAAAAACAAACAAAAAAGCAAACGAAAACAAAAACCTAACAACAAACCCAACCACAAACACCAATACCAACAAAAAAAAAACAACGAAAAAGCAAACGAAAACAAACCAAATCCAAACGCAAAACCAACCAAAAACACAAATACAAACCAAAACAAAAAAAAAACACAAACAAAAACGAAAAAAGAAAGAACAAAAACGAACCAAATCAAAACGAAACCACTAACGCAAACCCACCTAAACACAAAGAAAACACTAACGCGAACATAAACGCCCGGGGCGGAATCACCTGTTTTAGCTTAATGAACGACTATAGTACCCCAACTTATTCATAGTCTTTTGCACTCACTTAAACGAACGCGCCTGTTTCAATTTAATGAGCAATTTTAATACTCCAAGCTTATCCGTAAAATACCAACAACATTTGCACTTGATCAATCCCCGCTAATTATGTAATTATTTTTTTTCCCAACACCAAAACAAAGTAATAAAAAGTAAATTATTTTCCTCTAATGCAGGGGTCTCCAAACTACGGCCCGCGGGCCGGATGCGGCCCGCGAGGTCCTCTCATCTGGCCCGCGGAGATCTTTTTGTCCACGGAAAAAACACATGTTGGTGATGGCTGAGGAACTTTGCCCAGAAAAATCAAAGACATGCCTGGAAGAAACTGGCCCCCGAACTGAAATTTGATAGTTAATGCGGCCCTCGGATTGAAAAGTTTGGAGACCCCTGCTCTAATGCAATGGTTTTATAAAGGGAAGTAATTGTGTTTTCCTAATTTATCAAAGGGAAGTAAGTGCTATAGGACTAAATAAAGACATAATTAGAATTTTTGTAAAAGATGATATTTTTTTAAAACTTGTGTTTAATGAACATGCCGACAATTATTACTATAATTTGAAAAATGAAAATTATTTCCCAACACTTTCAATAGTAATTTTCTAACTCATAAATTTAGACAAATGCGCACGATAATTGTCTAACACTTAAATCCATCCAAGACCAACGACAAACATATGCGTTACATACAGAACTGAGCTTTATATATTAGATTATAATTATAATTTTTATTTTTATAATAATAATAATAACAATTATTATTATTATTATTATTATTATTATTATTATTATTATTATTATTATTATTATTATTATTATTATTATTATTATTATTATTATTATTATTATTATTATTATTATTATTATTATTATTATTATTATTATTATTATTATTATTATTATTATTATTATTATTATTATTATTATTATTATTATTATTATTATTATTATTATTATTATTATTATTATTATTATTATTATTATTATTATTATTATTATTATTATCATTTTTATTATTATTTCTATCTTTATCGTTCATTTATGCGTTTATTCGTTTATTTATTTTTTCATATTTTCATTTGTTCATTTGTTCATTTGTTCATTTGTTCATTTGTTCATTTGTTCATTTGTTCATTTGTTCATTTGTTCATTTGTTCATTTGTTCATTTGTTCATTTGTTCATTTGTTCATTTGTTCATTTGTTCATTTGTTCATTTGTTCATTTGTTCATTTGTTCATTTGTTCATTTGTTCATTTGTTCATTTTATTCCAGTGTTTGTTAGTTCGTTTATTTGTTCATTTGTTCATTTGTTCATTTGTTCATTTGTTCATTTGTTCATTTGTTCATTTGTTCATTTGTTCATTTGTTCATTTGTTCATTTGTTCATTTGTTCATTTGTTCATTTGTTCATTTGTTCATTTGTTCATTTGTTCATTTGTTCATTTGTTCATTTGTTCATTTGTTCATTTGTTCATTTGTTCATTTGTTCATTTGTTCATTTGTTCATTTGTTCATTTGTTCATTTGTTCATTTGTTCATTTGTTCATTTGTTCATTTGTTCATTTGTTCATTTGTTCATTTGTTCATTTGTTCATTTGTTCATTTGTTCATTTGTTCATTTGTTCATTTGTTCATTTGTTCATTTGTTCATTTGTTCATTTGTTCATTTGTTCATTTGTTCATTTGTTCATTTGTTCATTTGTTCATTTGTTCATTTGTTCATTTGTTCATTTGTTCATTTGTTCATTTGTTCATTTGTTCATTTGTTCATTTGTTCATTTGTTCATTTGTTCATTTGTTCATTTGTTCATTTGTTCATTTGTTCATTTGTTCATTTGTTTATTTGTTCATTTGTTCATTTGTTCATTTGTTCATTTGTTCATTTGTTCATTTGTTTATTTGTTCATTTGTTCATTTGTTCATTTTATTCCAGTGTTTGTTAGTTCGTTTATTTGTTTATTTGTTCATTTGGTCATTTGTTCATTTGCTCATGTGTTCATGTGTTCATTTGTTCATTTGTTCATTTGTTCATTTGTTCATATGTTCATTTGTTCATTTGTTCATTTGTTCATTTGTTCATTTGTTCATTTGTTCATTTGTTCATTTGTTCATTTGTTCATTTGTTCATTTGTTCATTTGTTCATTTGTTCATTTGTTCATTTGTTCATTTGTTCATTTGTTCATTTGTTCATTTGTTCAATTGTTCAATTGTTCATTTGTTCATTTGTTCAGTGTTCATTTGTTCATTTGTTCATTTGTTCATTTGTTCATTTGTTCATTTGTTCATTTGTTCATTTGTTCATTTGTTCATGTGTTCATGTGTTTATGTGTTCATTTGCTCATTTGCTCATTTGTTCATTTGTTCATTTGTTCATTTGTTCATTTGTTCATTTGTTCATTTGTTCATTTGTTCATTTGTTCATTTGTTCATTTGTTCATTTGTTCATTTGTTCATTTGTTCATTTGTTCATTTGTTCATTTGTTCATTTGTTCATTTGTTCATTTGTTCATTTGTTCATTTGTTCATTTGTTCATTTGTTCATTTGTTTTGTTCATTTGTTCATTTGTTCATTTGTTCATTTGTTCATTTGTTCATTTGTTCATTTGTTCATTTGTTCATTTGTTCATTTGTTCATTTGTTCATTTGTTCATTTGTTCATTTGTTCATTTGTTCATTTGTTCATTTGTTCATTTGTTCATTTGTTCATTTGTTCATTTGTTCCAGTGTTTGTTAGTTCGTTTATTTGTTTGTTAGTTTATGGATTTATTCGTTTATTCGTACGTTTATTTTTTTTTTCGTTTTTTTTTTTATTTTTTTTTTTTATTTTTTTTCAGTGTTTATTTTTTTATATGTTCATTTCATGATAAACTCAAGGGTACAGACTTTTACTCTCCACCCCACAACCTACCTGCATCGAGTTATATCCCCAATGTTTCTGATTGTAGTTCCCATACTTTTCGTACCACTCTTTAATGAACGGGTTGTGTCTTTTAGCCAGTATAAAAGCGTTGCCAAACCCGGTTTCAAGGTCAATCATCCCCATCGTGAGGTCGTTATCTGCAGATATATGTTCAATTTCAGAAGGTTTTTTTTTTGTCAGCAGATATATGTTCAATTTTAGAGGTTTTTTATCTGCAGGTATATTTTACGTTCAATTTGATACGTTTTCTAATTTGAGATAAACGAATGTTTTGGAAAAAATGTGTACATTCAAACACAGGTAATTTAATTTTATGGAGTAAATCATCTATAAGAGAAAAGCAATTTAAAAAAAAAAAAGAACATTTCTGTTTTTATTTCATTGCATACTGAGTATAACCAAACAGGTCATCTATAAACTAACCAAGCAGGTCATCTATAAACTAACCAAGCAGGTCATCTATAAACTAACAATGTAGGTCATCTATAAACTAACCAAGAAGGTCATCTATAAACTAACCAAGAAGGTCATCTATAAACTTACCAAGAAGGTCATTTATACACTAACCAAGCAGGTCATTTATGAACTAACCAAGAAGGTCATCTATAAACTAACCAAGCAGGTCATCTATAAACTAACCAAGAAGTTCATCTATAAACTAGCCAAGAAGTTCATCTATAAATTAACCAAGTAGGTCATCTATAAACTAACCAAGCAGGTCATCTATAAACTAACCAAGCAGGTCATCTATAAACTAACCAAACAAGTCATCTATAAGCTAACCAAGTAGGTCATCTATAAACTAACCAAGCAGGTCATCAATAAACTAACCAAGCAGGTCATCTATAAACTAACCAAGTAGATCATCTATAAACTAACCAAGTAGGTCATCTATAAACTAACCAAGCAGGTCATCTATAAATTAACCAGGAAGGTCATCTTTAAACTAACCAGCGTCATCTATAAACTAACCAAGTAGGTCATGTATAAACTAACCAAGAAGGTCATCTATAAACTAACCAAGTAGGTCATCTATAAACTAACCAAGTAGGTCATCTATAAACTAACCAAGCAGGTCATCTATAAATTAACCAAGAAGGTCATCTATAAACTAACCAAGCAGGTCATCTATAAACTAACCAAGTAGGTCATCTATAAACTAACCAAGCAGGTCATCTATAAACTAACCAAGCAGGTCATCTATAAACTAACCAAGCAGGTCATCTATAAACTAACCAAGCAGGTCATCTATAAACTAACCAAGCAAGTCATCTATAAACTAACCAAGCAGGTCATCTATAAACTAACCAAGCAGGTCATAAACTAACCAAGCAGTTCATCTATAAACTAACCAAGAAGGTCATCTATAAACTAAACAAGTAGGTCATCTATAAACTAACCAAGTAGGTCATCTATAAACTAACCAAGCAGGTCATCTATAAACTAACCAAGCAGGTCATCTATAAACTAACCAAGCAGGTCATCTATAAACTAAACAAGTAGGTCATCTATAAACTAACCAAGCAGGTCATCTATAAACTAACCAAGTAGGTCATCTATAAACTAACAAAGCAGGTCATCTATAAACTAACCAAGCAAGTCATCTATAAACTAACAAAGAAGGTCATCTATAAACTAACCGAGCAGGTCATCTATAAACTAAAACTAACCAAGTAGGTCATCTATAAACTAACCAAGAAGTTCATCTATAAACTAACCAAGCAGGTCATCTATAAACTAACCAAGCAGGTCATCTATAAACTAACCAAGCAGGTCATCTATAAACTAACCAAGCAGGTCATCTATAAACTAACCAAGCAGGTCATCTATAAACTAAAACTAACCAAGCAGGTCATCTATAAACTAACCAAGCAGGTCATCTATAAACTAACCAAACAGGTCATCTATAAACTAACCAAGCAGGTCATCTATAAACTAACCAAGCAGGTCATCTATAAACTAAAACTAACCAAGCAGGTCATCTATAAACTAACCAAGCAGGTCATCTATAAACTAAAACTAACCAAGCAGGTCATCTATAAACTAAACAAGTAGGTCATCTATAAACTAACCAAGCAGGTCATCTATAAACTAACCAAGCAGGTCATCTAAGCTCCTTAAAACCACCATGTCCGTGTCCAGATAAATCCCACCGTTCATGTAGATGGTCTGGAGCCGGACAATGTCCGAGTGGTGCTGTTTTATTGTGATTCTAGAACCTGATATCTCTAGCGGCGCCTCCCTGTAAACAAACCTGCAACAGATAAACCAATTGTTTACCTTTAGTTCAGGCTACAATAAAATGTTCTGTTTCCAATAAATTAGCTTAAAACATTTATATTGTTAAGTATCCTATAAATTTCATGATCTGCATAAGTGATTTGTAGAAATTAGTTTGATTATTATCGAGTTTTGAGCTCGAAATTTCGAGTTTCTTATCATTGGGCCTACGACTCGACAACATGATCTAAGTTGTCATATATTTCACATAAACTCTACTTCACCTATCTCGTGGTAGGGACATCCAGGTAAAACACAAACTCACCTGACGTTAGGGACATCCCGCACTATCAACTCCCAGAATTCCCCAACCGGATGTTGATCGCCGATGACGTAGATCGCCCTTGGAGCAATATGGCGCTGCGCGGCCACAAAAGCCACGTAATTCGCCAACTGAAATCTGTAATTTCCGTAGGTCACAAAATAAACTAATTTCGGAACTCTCCTGCTGTTTGTAAGTACGCATGCGTCGTTTTCAAAATGATTCAAATAGATCCGTTCGAAAAACATTCGACACAAAATATCAGATTTTGTAGCAAACTCGTCGCAAATCAAGTTTCTATTTATAGACATTATACTTTTCTCAACTGATGCTAAAAATTCATAAACACTGCATGTTGAGTTCAAGACCACAGGGTAAGTAACTCCAAAGTTATCAGATTTGTTTTCTGATTTCCACAAATCCCAGAACCTCGGCATTGACGTCACTGAGAAGACATTGTAAGACCAGTCAGGATTTATCCTTGGCGAGTCAAACGCTATAAACTTGGGAGCTGAGTTAAAATTGACGAGAAACAGGACTGTGGTAGAACACGTGATAAAGACGACATAGACGAAACACACAAATGTCTTCTGTTGTGTCAGCGGGGACATTTTCATTTGAACCTTAATCCTAGACTGCTAGAACTGGCTGATGAACAATGCACGGGCCGGCACTGACCGTGTTTCAAAATGTTAAGACTTGCAGAATTGTCATTGACTTCAGCTGCAATATTTAATTTCGATTTTGTTTTCGCATTGCAAATTCCTTAATGATAACTTGTGTGACGTCAACACCAGTTATGTTGCCAGGTAGCTGTCAACTACATCCGGCTGGCCACCTGTACCTACATGCAAATACAACAGAGAAAAAAATAAAAGTTGATCTTCAGATATATCACTGGGACATATTGTTATATCAATATTTTGGGTCTACGGCAAATTCTAGAAAGAAACTTGCACACAAATGCCCAAATTGGACACTTGCCTGAATGCGACAAATGCCCAAATTGGACACTTGCCTGAATGCGACAAACGCCCGAATGGACACTTGCCCGAATGCGACAAACGTCTGAATGGACACTTGCCCGAATGCGACAAATGCCCGATTGGACACTTGCCCGAATGGGACAAAAGCTCAAAAGCCACTTGCTCGAAGTCCGTGTTTGCCCAAAAAATTTAAAATCTTTTAGCTAAAGCTTTTAATAGAACTCATTGAATTGTTTCATGCCCAGCCTATATGATGCCTTTGTTTTAGCATTTAGACAAACCAGTTTAGGTTTTGTCTTTTCTATAGTTCTGAAGCTTCACGTGTTTTGAACAACAAGAACTATTATACATAGCCGTATATCACAGGTTTCTGATGTTGTTAAATAATATATTTAAAAACACAGAAAAGTAGCCTCATTAGACCAAGTGATCCATCAGGCAGATGAAGTAGAGTTCATGTTTCTTGGCCTTGGCATATGAACGGAAGCTGTGGTCAGCACTTTACGCAGCCGCCTTTACTTTCCCAAACATGAGTTAGGTACCCATAAGAGCTGGGTGGACTCAGTGACGTTCTACTGACTTGGACCCGGATTCGAACTCGAGATTTTCGGTTTAGCAGCTTTTCCGTGTAATAAAATATAACAAAAAACAAACAGCTGAAAACGTTCCAATAACAATCAAAAGGAATTCTATTGAATAAATTCTTAAATCGGATTTGCGGCCGCAAATACTACATTTATGTCCAACAAGTTCTAATGAATATCCGACTTTTAAAATAAACTGCAGCCTTCTCACACTGCATGTTGGTGGCATCATGTCAAACAAGCATGAACATAATGATACAATAGGTGAACACATTTATGTTACTCTCGTGAGATGAAATCAATCCATACAATCAATGCAATAGGACAAAGTACATACAATTACAACAAATATAATAAGCCACAGTAAATACATATAAAAATAAATCGGGAGTGATCTCCCCTAAACTTTCTCGAATATTCTTATATAACACTACGGAGGATGGCACCGCGGAATATAGCCATGATTTTTAATCCATTTTAATTACTTAAACTTTTTAAAATCGAATAGAATTCCTTCGAAAAAAAAAAGAATTGCATATCAAGTGAATGGCAAACAATATGTGTATTATAGTGCGGAATATTATTAGTACTTTATAAATTTATTTTTGTTTTTTAAGAAGTCAGAAATGACGAAAATTATTACTTCCGGTCAACGGAAATTTACTCAAAATTTTATAGATGGCAGAAAAGTATATCTTTTACTTACATGTGAAATTTCGTTTATCTATCTGAAACAGTACTCAAGTAATAGGCTTTTGAAAAACTAAAAGTTGAATAAGTCATCTGTGTATCGGAAATGGCTGAAAAGTTTTTACAGACCTACAAATTTGATATAATACTTATATATGTAATTTCAACAACCTATCTGTAACGGTGCTCAAGTTATCGTGTTCACAAACACACATACACACACATATACACACATACACACACAGACATACGAACAAAATTGCAAAACTATGTTTTTCCGACTCAGGGAGGTGTAAAACGTCGAGATTTTTTTGTACGATTACAATACTTCGTATACGAGAAAGTAAAAATATAATAGGACAAAGTAATTACACTTACAAATATAATAGGACAATAGATGCACTTACAAAAATATAATTAAATAGTACATTCATTCACAAGTACAATAAGACACGAAATACACTCACTAGTACAATAAGGCACTGAATACATTCACAAGTATAATTAAACCCTAGATAGACCTACCTTCAACTGCACTATGCCAACTCCATATCTTCTCTATTTTACACCCGCAGTAAACGAATTTTTCAAAGATTGATTCAATTTTTTAAGAGACTCACTTTAATCGGCTAAACACAAAACACACATTTTCCTTAATCCCTAAAATGTATTCAAATATCCAATTACAGCGTGAAGGGTAAAAAAAAACATCCATCTAAAAACGTATAAAAATTGGAGTTGAAAAATCTTTTCTTCAGTAATGAACGTTGGTCAATGCGGAAATATCTGGAGATGAAACATCTGTTAGTGGCATGTACTTGAGTTGTTTGAGATTCCAAACCTTCTATCGTAAGTAGTGGGTTGGTTGTTTATGTGGGGATAATATGTTAAGTCAAAGGATGATGAGTGCGAAAGAATTTTTATCTTAAAATAATTTTTTAAAAGAGTTTCAAGTAATTTTTTTTCAAGAACCGTAAGACGGTAGACCTTAGCTGCGCTTGGCTAACTACGAAACATTTTAAATGAACAAGGAAATCTAGAAAAATGTTTATTCCAAATATTTTTGGGACGATATGGTAGAATCGTAGACCTTTCGTCTGCTAACCCAAAGTCTTGAGTTCGAGTCGCTGTATAGAGTCATAACACGTCTGAGTCCACCCAGCTCTGATGGGTTCCTAACCTAGGTTAGGGAAAGTAAAGGCGGTTGGGCAGGGTGCTGACCACAATATCCATTCACATGCTGAGGTCACAGAAACTCTACTTCACCTGCCCCATGGGCCGTAAGGGAACTTTGCTTAACTGACTTATTTTTATAACAATCTTGTATCTGAATGCTAGCGATTTATTTTGATGATTGAACTTGGTTTCTAATTAAAGGGGTGGGGGAAAGCTGTCATTTCCATTTACACAAGTCTGAAATGTAATGAAAAGGTGCTGTCAAGTATACAATTACTACTCAAATGTAATGAAATTTTAAACTGCATACGTCACTCTATTGACAGCTCTCTGTTGTTTTATTTTTAGCCAATTACGCTAAAGTAGTCGATAAAGCGTCAGCTTACTTTTCATACACAACAAAAGTAATCGATAAATGAAATAAACTTTTGGTGCGTGTCGGTCTATAATCAATACGTCATTATATGCACGGTATTTAGTCCGTTAAGTTTCAATAGAATTATATTGCAATATTTGCTGTTTAACAGTTTGTTACGTGGAATGTTAACAAACATCCAACTAATTAGTTAACAAGATGCTGTTAATATAATCTCCATATACTGTAACGCGCATATGTTGGGTTGCGCTGTTTTAGATAGTTATTTTTGTCAATCTTGGGTGTTGGGGTGTTGGGGTACTGGGGTGTTGGGGTGTTGGGGTACTGGGGTATTAGGGATGTGGGGGCAGGGAGACTGAGACCGTCTTATTGTGTGCCCTGTGCATAACGGCTGATTTATTTGGACTCCATTTAAATTTAAGACTTGTGAATAGTAGATTTTTTCTCTCTTTTTTTCCGCCTCAGACATGCAATTTACATCGTCGGTTTGCCTTGTGTGTTCGCTTTAGTATTACAGTTTCCATCATCGGCTTGTGAGAACTGATACAGATTTACTATAGTAATACTTCCTTCTTACTTGTAGCCTACTTTTATTTATTTAAGATGGTTTAGTTGGCGTGCTATAGTCGTTTACTAAGCTGAAACAGGCATTTCCGCCGGCGCCCCAGCATGGTACGATTTGGCGCCCCGGGCTACAATGTGAGCACTTTGCGTTTAGGTTAGCGTTTGTGTTTTCTTTGTGTTTGGGTTGGGTTTACGTTTGTGGTTGGGTTTGTGTTTGTGCTTGGATTTGGGTTGTTTTCGTTTACTTTTATGTTTGCGTTTGTGTTTGTGTTTTCTTTGTGTTTGTGTTTGCGTTTGTGGTTGGGTTTGGGTTTGCGTTTGTGTTTGTGTTTTCGTTTGTGTTTGTATTTGTATTTGCGTTATGTTTGCGTTTTTTGTTTGTTTTGGTTTTGGTTTGTTGTGGTTAGGGTGGGCAATGCCGGGTATATGCTGATTACTAAACACACATGGTCCTTTACAGACAGCGCGACAGGTTTTTCACAGACGAAATGTAGTTAAGTGCTTTGATACGAACCAATAGTTCTCTTAAATCAATACAATTTATTGAGTTGATTCATATGATGGATTAGTTAGTGCAGCAGCTCTAAATAGAAATGTGAACGAGATTAAGTTCTAAATTATTTAAGCTGTATGTAGGCGTTTAAACAAAAGACGCACGTAACCAATTTTATTATTGCTTTAAATATATAGTTTTCAATTTTCGAAACAAAACTTAATGCAACAAATTATTTTAGTAAATATGACTTTATAACGAGAAAATAGAACGTAAAGGAAAAAAACATCTACATTATTTACAATGTCATCTTTCCAGAAGTAGCAACTGAAACCTCCACCTTTCTTCAAACTAACCTCCCCCCCCCACCCCCCACCCCCCCCCCCCCCCCCCACCACTTCAACATTTCTTGTCATATGTGCCATTACTGATGGCCGCACGTACAAAGTTTCTTTCGGGCATCTCTTCGGTGGTAGGGGCCACCTCAGCACGACTACTACCCCCCCCCCCTCGACCTAAATAGAAATTATATATCAAATAAATACTTGATCCAGTGTCCGCTCCCCCGGAATTTAACTCTGCCCCCCCCCCCCTTTCGTAAATTTCAGGTGCCCCCTCCTCACAAGAAAAATGTCTGAAAGAAACATTGCGCACGTGCTCGTTCTGTCTCAGTATCCGCCCTTCCTGCGGTCACTCACAGCCAAGATGGCGCCGTCCACCACGCTGATGTCCTGGACAACGGCAACGCTGGACGACTCGGTCAAGTTGTGGGCAAACCGTCGGAGACCTGCGAGAATGTTCTGGAAATTTGGAACAAACATCAGATCACTCTGCTATCAACTCATCAGATTTAACATGTTACATGCAGGCCTCGGCTAGTGTTAGACAACAGTTAATTCGAAGAAGAATTTTATTTTCAAACATCTACTTTATCGTTACAAAGCGATAGATAATATATTATTTCTATAATTTTAAAAAAATTGAAAGTTTAAAATTATTTCAAATTTTAAAAAAAAAACAATTTTAAAACACTTTAAGTACAATGAGTTGCTGATTCAATCATTACGTGTTTTTTACCAAAGGCGCATTGGCCTACCGTCAAGCACATTGAGAATAAGAGCCATCATCGGCCCACCACTCGGGACACCAGGGGAAAAGACTCTAACACTACCGCTTAGAGTTATCTCCACTGGTTTCTTCTCCAATGGCTGGTAATTCATCAAATCTTCTCGGCTTATGATGGAACCTAAAGCAAAATGTATCATACATAAAATCAATATATATATATATATATATATATATATATATATATATATATATATATATATATATATATATATATATATATATATATATATATATATATATATATATGCGTGTGTGTCTGTGTAGTAAACGTTGCAACAGAACATTGCAACATAACCAACCTATGTCCTGTAAATCTTATATGTATATATGTATATATTTTTTTATATATATACATATATATATATATATATATATATATATATATATATATATATATATATATATATATATATATATATATGTGTGTATGTGTGTGTGTGTGTGTGTGTGTTTGTGTGTGTGTGTGTTTGTTTGTGTGTATTAAACGTTGCTATAGAATATTGCAACATAACCAACCTATGTCCTGTAAATCTTATATGTATATATGTATATATTTATATATATATATATATATATATATATATATATATATATATATATATATATGTGTGTGTGTGTGTGTGTGTGTTTGTGTGTGTGTGTGTTTTATGTATTAAACGTTGCTATAGAACAATACGCAACATAACCAACCTATGTCCTGTAAATCTTGTAGAATGTCATCCGTCAAAGATCCATTATAAAAAGCCGTCATCCCTTCACGGGAGATAACTCGAAGTGTATTAGCCAGCTTTGGTCTCGTCATTATCTCCCCTTCTTTAAAAACCTTTCCAGTTTTCTTGTTCGTGAAGATCTCGCTTTAAAAATTGGAAAAATTAAATAGATTGATTCTGTAGTATATGGTTTTTGTCGTACATAGGTAAGCAACCTTCTAATATCCGAGTTATAGATTATTTTTAAAAAGACAATTAAAATCGTTGGTCTTAAATAGCCGTCACGTGAGGGAGGTCGATATTTTCAAGCTAGAATTGGCGATGTTGGACCAGGTTTAACAAGGTAAACATAGAATTTATTACACCTGAGTTGCCCAGAGATCATATGGTCAACATCAATAATGGATTTACCTGGGTCACAAGTTGTACGAGTTATATAAGATAAAGGTTGGGTATTATTAGAAAAATTGATGTATTGTAACTAAAAAGTGTTGATTATACTTGGAGCAACAGTTGTATAGCAACATAAACGATGTACATGTCAATTCTAGTTAGAATAATAGTTGTATAACAACTAAACAAGCTTTAAAAAACCTAGAACAAAACGTATACCTTTCCACACACAATTTTAAGTTCTAGTTTGATTTAATCACCAGGAAAGGTAACATAAAGAATTAAAAGCAAATTTTTTTTCTCAAAGTTTAAGTCAAAAAACGTAACACGACAATGTTCGATATTTACTTTAAGTAACCTATAGAGAATGAGAGTTACAAAAAAAATTCTATGTTTGATGAGTACACATGAACACAAACACAAGATTCTTGATCTAATATTTGCTGAACTTTGCATAGTGAAGAATTGAATTCTAGATTAGTATTTTTATCCTGCTACACCGAGAACTCGGTCTACATAAACAGGAAGAGAGGACAAGATATCACATGATCAGAAAGAAATCTGACTAAGCTAAAGTTGTTTGTTTGTTTTTGGTTTTTTTTTTTTTGGTTTTTTTTTTTTGGTATACCATTCATTTTACCACGCCGCACTTAAGTATTTCAGACAAAATACCAAACAAAGACCTCGGCAAAATACAAAACAGCAGCGAATAGAGAAAGGTATAAAGGCCCGTAAATGGGGAAGGATTGGTCACACGCTTAGAAGGGAAGAAGGAAATGTTGCAAAAAATGCTAAGGACTTTAACGTGTGGCTCACGTGGGCACAGATAAAGGAAGCATCCCAAAACCAAGTCCACTGGAAAAGTGTAACCTTATCCCTCTGCTCCCCAGGGGCTACAAAGGAAAAATGATGACTTCAATATTTAAAACCACGTTCTATAACCCACATTCTGTCACATTAAATCAAACCTAGGTTACCCAATGTTTGGGAGAAATCTCGCTGAACAAGTTGCTCTAGTTAAATGACAAGTTTCTAGATTCAAGTTTATTTTAAAGTCAAGTCAAAAGTTTAGACATGAAGGTCATTCTACGTCTGCCCATGTCGCCCTATAGCAATAACCTTGACCTAGTGTAAAATAAAAATGTCAATGTTTACCATTCTAAAAAAATTTTGTTTGCCTACAAAACTTAGAACAGATTTTTTTTTTTAAATAAGTACATGGTTTTCAGATTTGTCAAGGAATAACGTTATTTCAAGAAATGTGTAGAAGTTAAAATTATATCATTGGAATTGTCGGTGACCACACCAGATTTACGTAGCGTGTTGTTTAAGGATTAAAATTTTACTTCGATGTTTATCGGAAGTTGAGGGTGGGGGACTAACGACATTAACCTTAAAGATGGCTCTACAGCTATCGTCTGGTTCCGATCACGGAGAACCGTGCCCAAAGAAGGCGTTACAGGAAATCCCTCAGCGGCCATCTTGATGGCTGGTTCAAACAAATCTGACCACGGCAGCCTGCCATACTTTTGATGTGCGTACCAGTAGCCTTTGATTTCACTATACTGAGCCCACCTGTTGGTTCAAAAAGTAGTGTAATAGAAAGTTGTAGTAAAGATTTTCAGGTCAAAATTAGATTTAGCCAAACATCTTTCAAATTCAAATCATCCAATCGTATTTTAGGCTATGGAGAGATTTATATATATATATATATATATATATATATATATATATATATATATATATATATATATATATATATATATATATATATATATATATATATGTATATATACATATATATATATATATATATATATGTATATATACATATATATATATATCTATATATGTATATATACATCTATATATGTATATATATATATATATATATATATATATATATATATATGTATATATATATATATATATATATATATATATATATATATATATATATATATATTGTGAGTTAAACTCTGACTAGTAAGTGTTGCGGCACAGTTGTGATGCAACAAACTTATGCGCACGACTTCATTATTTGAGTGCCCAGTATAACATCCGACCAATGTTACCTGTCTACGCGATAAGTTACCTGTCAACCACCCCAAAACAGCAACCTGTGAGTGACCCAACACTTACCTGTAAGTGACCCAACACTTACCTGTAAGTGACCCAACACTTACCTGTGAGTGACCCAACACTTACCTGTGAGTGACCCAACACTTACCTGTGAGTGACCCAACACTTACCTGTAAGTGACCCAACACTTACCTGTGATTGACCCAACATTTACCTGTGATTGAACCAACACTTACCTGTGAGTGACCTGTGAGTGACCCAACACTTACCTGTGAGTGACCCAACACTTACCTGTGAGTGACCCAACACTTACCTGTGAGTGACCCAACACTTACCTGTGAGTGACCCAACACTTACCTGTGAGTGACCCAACACTTACCTGTGAGTGACCCAACACTTACCTGTGAGTGACCCAACACTTACCTGTAAGTGACCCAACACTTACCTGTGAGTGACCCAACACTTACCTGTGAGTGACCCAACACTTACCTGTGAGTGACCCAACACTTACCTGTGATTGACCCAACATTTACCTGTGATTGAACCAACACTTACCTGTGAGTGACCTGTGAGTGACCCAACACTTACCTGTGAGTGACCCAACACTTACCTGTGGGTGACCCAACACTTACCTGTGAGTGACCCAACACTTACCTGTGGGTGACCCAACACTACCTGTGAGTGACAAAACACTTATCTGTGAGTGACCTGTGAGTGACCCAACACTTACCTGTGAGTGACCCAACACTTACCTGTGAGTGACCCAACACTTACCTGTGGGTGACCCAACACTACCTGTGAGTGACACAACACTTACCTGTGAGTGACCTGTGAGTGACCCAACACTTACCTGTGAGTGACGCATCTGGTCTCCCAGCTGTTGCCCTCCCCGGGGCAGTTTCTCTGGCATCTATCACTGTTGGCACCCCTGTGGTCCTGGTGAGTTTATGAATAAGACATTGTCACTGGCACATTAGGCTGAACGTGTTTTTCTATCATTGGGTTGGGTCACGTGGTCATGTGGTAACGTGGTCATGTGGTAATGTGGTCATGCTGTTATGTGATCACGTGGTCGTGTGGTCGTGTAGTCATGCGGTCGTGTAGTCATGTGGTCATGTGGTCATGTGGTCATTTGGTCATGTGGTCATCTGGTCATCTGGTCATCTGTTCACGTCGTCACGTGGTCACGTGGTCGTTTGGTCATGTGGTCATCTAGTGTTGTGGTCACGTGGTCGTTTGGTCACTTGGTCCTTTGGTCACGTGGTCGTTTGGTCACGTGGTCGTTTGGTCACGTGGTCGTTTGGTCACGTGCTCATATGGTCATGTGGTCACTTGGTCATGTGGTCATGTGGTCATGTGGTCATGTGGTCATGTGGTCATGTGGTCATGTGGTCATGTGGTCATGTGGTCATGTGGTCGTGTGGTCGTGTGGTCGTGTAGTCATGTGGTCATGTGGTCATGTGGTCACGTGGTCGTGTAGTCATGTGGTCATGTGGTCATGTGGTCATGTGGTCACGTGGTCGTTTGGTCACGTGGTCGTTTGGTCACGTGGTCGTTTGGTCACGTGGTCATGTGGTCATGTGGTCATGTGGTCATGTGGTCATGTGGTCATGTGGTCATGTGGTCATGTGGTCATGTGGTCATGTGGTCATGTGGTCATGTGGTCATGTGGTCATGTGGTCATGTGGTCATGTGGTCATGTGGTCATGTGGTCATGTGGTCATGTGGTCACGTGGTCACGTGGTCACGTGGTCATGTGGTCATGTGGTCATGTGGTCATGTAGTCATACGGTCACGTGGTCATGATGTCAGATTATTGGTTTTTGTTTTCTAAACCTGTAATTCTGATTACTTGTTCATTTAACCAGTTTTTTTTACCTATCACTCTAAAATTAGATGATAGACAGATCTATTAATCTGTTGTGTTTTTTTATCTAGAGTTGTTATTTTGATATGTCTATTTAAAATGGTTTGCAAAGTTACTTAAATCTTTTAGTGTACAAAATAACGTTCAGATACTTATCGAAACGTTTTGTATTTCAGTTTTGAAAGTGCGTTTCCTCTTCTACATAAAGGCTGTAATTAGTCTAGCATTTCTAGAATAAATGTACTTTATGAAGGTGTTGCTAGTGTATAATTGGATTTGTTTCACCAAATGCCGTGTTGAAGATAAGATTAAACTCATAAATTGTAACATGCTAATATGGTAGTTATACCAAACGTAAACTTTAACCTGTTGTAGATGGTCATAAAGAAACCTCCACCGATGCCCATAGACCAGGGGTCGGCAACCTTTTGAGACGAAAGAGCCAAAAGTTACAATTTACGAATTTTTCCAGTTTTTAAAGAGCCACTATCATTTTTATTTAGATATTATGGCATTTAATTAGGCTTAGGTGAAAAATGTTGTTTTTTATTTGAAATAAATAGCTTTATATATAAAATAATATTTATTCATATAAAAACATACAACTGTTTCGCACCAAACATATTAAAGTATTTTAGCTAGCTCTGATAAAATTAGTAATCAAATAATATAACTGTAGGCCTTTCCCAATCCACTTTAGAAGCTAATAAATTTTTTGCCTTTCTTTACGGACATCACCGGCTCAGGAAGTGTCTCCTATTAGCCAGGCAAGCCTCAACACGGCCAACTCCGACTAACTGGCTTGGACATTGGTTTGATCACCGTATAGGTCACTTCTGTCCTTCAGTTCACAACTGACTTACCTTCCACTTTACGCGTTCCCAACCGTACAGTACTCGGCTCAACCGTAGGAAGCTAAAAACTAAAAAGTCATTCAGGTCTAATTAATGCATACTGAGAGAAAGAGAAATGCAGTCTGAATAAAATAACATTCACTATTGAACGATATTGGAAAAAGTCGGCACTATCAAGCATGGAACCGTGGTCACAAGGCTGGCTACAGCACGGCTGTGGGGCTGGGTCTGGTGCCCAAGCGGCTATAAGCTGTCCATATACTTTCTACCTCACCTACTCTCATTGTTCTCTGATTAGTGTTTTTATCCCATTTAAAGTTGTTTTTCTTTACAGTATAATATTTTTATGTGTTTTAAAAATAAAATAACTTAATATTTGTGTGAGGAACTCGAGAGCCGCACATTGACATCCAAAGAGCCGCATGCGGCTCGCGAGCCGCAGGTTGCCGACCCCTGCCATAGACTGGGTACAGGCGAGTCCATTACACAGTAGGGCTGCTATAGCGGCGTCTACAGCATTACCTCCCTTCAGTAGGATAACCCTGTGATTGAAGAAATTTTTTAGCCTCCTTAGGATTAGAACAAAATGTCCTAGTATGTCCACCTCTATGTCCCTATGAGTAATGTGCCGTAAAGCTTGTAATAAAATCGGAAAAAAAATCTACTAGTAGACGTTAACTAGAGATAACTTCTTCAGTTCCTTCTTGTAGCCTACATTCACTTTTCTGATTCACGAGTCCGAACCGAGATCCGAACTCGAAAACTTCGGGTGAGCAGTGGGGCTACCCAGCAACACTATTCTACTGCAAAAGTTTGTTTACTCTCCTACTGTAAAACATTGTTTACTTTACTACTGTACAATTTTTGTTTAATTTCCTACTGTAAAACTTTGTTTACTTTACTACTGCAAAAGTTTGTTTACTTTCCTACTGTAAAGCTTTTGTTTACTTTCCTACTGTAAAACTTGTGTTTACTTTCCTAATGTAAAACTTGTGTTTACTTTCCTACTCTAAAACTTTTGTTTACTTTCCTACTGTAAAACTGTTTACTTTCCTACTGTAAAAGTTTGTTTACTTTCCTACTCTAAAACTTTTGTTTACTTTCCTACTGTAAAACATTGTTTACTTTCCTACTGTAAAACATTGTTTACTTTCCTACTCTAAAACTTTTGTTTACTTTCAAACTGTAAAACTTTGTTTACTTTCCTACTGTAAAACTTTGTTTACTTTCCTACTGTAAAACTTTTGTTTACTTTCCTACTATAAAACATTGTTTACTTTACTACTGTAAAAGCTTGTTTACTTTCCTACTCTAAAACATTGTTTACTTTCCTACTCTAAAACATTGTTTACTTTCCTACTGTAAAACTTTGTTTACTTTCCTACTGTAAAACATTGTTTACTTTCCTACTCTAAAACTTTTGTTTACTTTCCTACTGTAAAACTTTGTTTACTTTCCTACTGTAAAACATTGTTTACTTTCCTACTGTAAAACTTTTGTTTATTTTACTACTGTAAGAATTGTGTTTACTTTCCTACTGTAAAACATTGTTTACTTTCCTACTGTAAAAGTTTGTTTACTTTCCTACTCTAAAACATTTTTTTACTTTCCTACTGTAAAACGTTTGCTTACTTTCCTACTGTACAACTTTTGTTTACTTTCCTACTGTACAACTTTTGTTTACTTTCCTACTGTACAATTTTTGTTTACTTTCCTACTGTACAACTTTTGTTTACTTTCCTACTGTACAATGTTGTTTATTTTCCTGCTGTAAAACTTTTGTTTACTTTCCGACTGTGAAACTTTTGTTTACTTTCCTACCATAAAACTTGTTTACTTTCCTACTGTATAACTTTTGTTAACTTTCCTGCTGTAAAACATTGTTTACTTTCCTACTGTAAAACTTTTGTTTACTTTCCTACTGTGGAGCACTGAGCCGAGTCTGTAGCCACGGCAGCATGTCTGTAGAAGTTAGTTCCCCTGTATTGACGTCTGCTGACCTGCTGCTCCCGCGTGACGAAGACAACAGCTATAATTATTGCTGCAGCCACAACAAGGGACACTACCCCAATGACAACAAATTTTGTTCTGTGTAAGACATAAACAACTCTTCCAATCATAGTTTGTCAACGACAACAAATTTAAATATTTTTAAAAACCAAAATGTGTGGCGGACTAACTATATTCGGTGTAGATCTCTAAACGCTAAAAGTTACTAGAACCGATTTCATACATTTTTACAACACCTGTGGGGGGGGGGGGGGAGGTTTTAGTTTACTTTCTGTTTAAATTCCAGGACAATTTAAATTAAGTTTTAATTTTGATAAATTCAATTATTTTTAATTATAATAATTAATTTAAAACAAAAATAAAAATACTTAATTATAAAACTATTTCTATATTATTAAAATTATGTTTAAAGTTTCCTTCTAAAGAAGCTTATTATCCAATCGTTATAAAACTGTTATAAACCAAGTACCCTTATAAAATGTAAAAGAAAAACTTCTGTCATTTTACTTACGTACGTTGTTGGTACATTCTACAGTTGCAAGAGACACGTCAAACCTACTCCAGACACACACATACACATACACACACCACACACACCTACCAACACCACACACCACTCACACAGCACACTGTCAATGTTAGCTTATGAGACCTGCTAGTAGCTCTCTCATTACATTGACTTCATTCAGTTAAAAAAAAACAACGGTGTTTGCACAAAGGTAAAAGTTACAGTAGACTGAAGCATAACAAAATTTGTGGCCTTTAAGGATACCTGACACCCACGCCCCTTCTTCAAATAATATTTTTACCTGAGGTCACAAGATTCTGTTTTACCCCGACAACACTGAGATGACAAACTATTTTTTTTTACATTTTTTTTTCCATACAAGTAGCGCACGAACCAATCCAAAAAGTCTGTCTATTGGGCAAGTAAACAAAGTTTGTGCAATTATGGTGCTATTGAGGTCAAGTCGCATTGAACTTCCTTTACTAAAGTTTCCTTCAGGCAGCTATAATTTAAGCAGGATCCGTCTTCTTATCTCCCTTCGAGCATGGAGTCAAATTATCAAAAACATTCCCGTTAAGAAAAACAGCTGAACTATTTGAACTCGTCAGTGAAACAATTTAAAGAAGAGCCAAAGAGTCCAATTAACTGATCCAGTGTACACGCGCTAATTAAAATACTTGATGAGTTGTCGTTACACTTCAAGAGAAACAAAAACTTAGTCAAACAAACACTACTAATACTACTACTAATACACTACTAAATACAAACTACTAATACTATTGTCTTCTGCTATCTCTGGCCTGTAGACTGATCATACTTAAAAATATGTAAATGGCATTAAATTCGAACGTGTTAACTTGTCTTTTCGCCGTTTTTATTAGGCATCAACTATCGATGCCAAAACACTTTAGGTAATCACATACAATATTCATCGCTGAAGCAAATATGACGTTAAAAAAATTGTAACAACGCACGTTATAGAAAAATAATATATATTTGTATTATACACATCAACATTATGTACACAGAATGTTAATACATTTTAATATAACCACAAGTTGTAGATCACAATCCTACCACTTTATAGTACAATACACTGACTAGTTTTAAACTCTCAGGTTCTAGATCAGACGTCGTCTGCAGGTCATCGCTTGCACGTGCCGGGTGGCATCAGTAGCCGTCTGGTACCCCGCCCTTCCTGTGGTCACTTTCAGCAAAGATGGCACCGTCTATGACGCGGATGCCCTGCACGGCCGACTTCGGGGTGAGTAACTCCTTCATGGTGTGGCCTAACTCTCTCAGGTACGTCACCACGTTCTGGGGGGAAAATTTTAAATACTGAAACTATAAATAGCACAAGTGTTTATCAAAAGCTGTTGACAAATCGTGCACAGTTTGCCCCAAGTGTATTTCTTAAACTTACATCTGACAAGTTACATAGTCGAATACTTCAGTATAATTTGCAATAGAGACGAATGTACCAATCCAACTTACAACTTATACTAACTAATCCCATTTTTACAACATATACTAATGTGCCTGACCAATTTACAACCTAAACTAATTAATCCCATTTTTACAACAATTACTAATGTGCCTGACCAATTTACTACATGGATTAATTTACCAGCCCAATTTACAATATAAATTGAATTGCCAATCTAATTTACAACATCCTTCATTGTAGCTAACGATATATAAATGTTATGATGAATTTTTCAGCAAATATCTGCTGGAAACTGAAGTGTATGTTTACAACTACAGTAGAAGCTACTTTAGATGTCTAACTTAGTTAGAACTTTATTTAAACAACAATTTTAATTAAATGTTTTTAGATGAATTCTTAGGTTACCGTACACACACACACAAACACACATACAAACACACTGAAATAACATTCCTAAAATAGAATTCTCAAATTACTTGCTGAAATCCAAGTTCGTGTTCGAGTTGATCGGGCACAAGCTGATGGTGGAGACGTGGTCTAAAAATAGCGTCTTTAATACTGTCACCTAGCCAAAGCGAGTGTGCTGCCACCTAGCGGTGAATGGAATCAGGCAACAAGTCGTGGTTTATATTATGTATACCATCACAATGGTGATATGTTTTCTCACATTCAACATCTACAACAATTCTATTTACATCTAAGCAGATAAAAGGCGAACAACTCAAAAAATACTTTGAATAAGATTTGAAGAGTGACAAAGGAAAATTTATTTAATCTGATGAATTAATTTTTTTCAGGTTTAAACCTTTGTGTGTTGGTTTGTTTCTTTTATTTGCCTGAATCTGGCAGGCTTAATTAACAATCCATTTTCAAATCCATTTTCAACACACTAGTAAAACTTGTTTTACTCTATGGAGCTGAGAAGAGGAGAATAACGGCCATAAATTAGAAGAAAATACAATCATTTATATCCTCATGCTTCAGAAAGATCCTTTGAATACACTGACCATAAACCGTGAGATATGAGGTACTACGGGAACAGACAAACCAAATGCCAGCTGAAGAAAGGATTCTACAGAGAAAATGGAGATGTATTGACCTCACACTCAGGAAGACCTGGAGACGTGACCTCGAAGAAGACACCAAGAAGATTGGATACACCTGGGAACAGTTAGAGAGACTAGCCCAGGACAGAGACGCCTGGAAAGCTCTGGTCAACGGCCTATGTGGGGCGACAGGCTCACATAAGATATCCATTACTTACCCAGGCTGTGGATGTTGTAATCCTGGACCCACCGGAAGCGCCAATCACCATGGTAACCTGACCGTCTCGCTCTACAAAGATAGACGGAGACATGGAGGACAGGGGCCGCTTGCCGGGGGCGATGAAATTAGCAGGGGAGGGCTGGAACCCAAACAGGTTGGTGATGTTGGGAGAGCTGAAGTCGTCCATCTCGTTGTTAAAGATTATACCAGTTCTCATGCCGCGACGCTTAGACCCGAAGCTAAAGTTGAAATAGTAAAAATAATTACTAAATAACAAAATAGTTTGATTTACAATAGGACAATGTATATTGCATTGAATTTGGTAAACAAACTAAATGCAAAACTGCAATTGGAGACATTGGTAAAATTAATTTCATGTTGTGGCGCCACACACACACCCCCAACCACCCACCCCCATATATACTGCTTGGTATTTGCACTTACACCGTGCCCAAAATATGTACCTGACTACGTACACAGAATCCGTTATTTATTTTCTCCCATCCTCTTTCACATCTTTTAACATTGTTACACTCAACAAATTCACAAACATACATCACGAACATACATAATATTTCTACCAGATTAACAAACATACACGATACACCAGACATACAAATATACACGCTACCATACACCCACCCAATATGCTACCATACACCCACCAGACATACAAACATACACGCTGCCATACACCTACCAGACATACAAACATACACGCTACCATACACCCACCTTATATGCTACCATACACCCACCAGACATACAAACATACACGCTACCATCCACCAACCTGCCGTTGATGGTGCTTGTAACCGACACAGCACTACCATCACCATCTACAACAGATATGTGTGAGGTGCCCCCTGTGCTGGGGCTGTAGAACGTAGGCCCGTAGTGCACGTAGTCAAACGTCTTGGTGTCGGAGATCTGCCTACGGATGCTGTCGGCGTAGTCTTTTGATGACATGTTGTGTAAGAGCTGGAAGCAAAGTTGTGTGATAACTAGAACTTTAGATTTATGACTTACTTGACTTACTCCTCTTTTCTCCAAGTCGAACATTATTACTCAACTATAACCTTCCAGTTTGTCCGGGGCCCGACTATCAATTTTGCAATCCCCAAAGACATTCCTGTTGTCTTCAGTTCTTCAAGAAGACTACATTTTTTACATTTATACTGTTTATTTATTAATTAAACTATTTTCGTTTAACTGCTTTTATTATAAGATTATAAAAATAATACATAATGGATAACTAGTGTTGAATTTACTTGTAAAATAAGCCAATCGTTCTTTCAATAATGCATTTAAGTCAAATCATTTTAGGAAAATGTATATGTATGTCAAACATTTCATAGATTCATTCAACTGTCTTACAAACTAGCATTAGATTAACTAATTTCACTGGCATAAAATATGCCTCATCGCCTCATCATATAGGCCTAGAGGAACTGCACCTAAATCGTAACAAAATGTGTAATCTACTTCTGATATAATAACAATATGTGTATCCTACTTCTGATATAATTAAAAAAATGTGTATTCTACCTCCAATATAATAACAAAATGTGTATTCTATCTCCGATATAAAAACAAAATGCGTATTCTACCTCAGATATAAAACAAAATATGTATTGTATCTCCGATATAAAAGCAAAATGTATATTCTACCTCAGATATAATAACAAAATGTGTATTCTACCTCCGATATAATAACAAAATATGTATTCTACCTCCGATATAATAACAAAATGTGTATTCTACCTCCGCTACATCGACAAAACTTCCATCCCCAAGTGCCGTACGTTTGGCGTAAGCAAACTTAAACGCTTCAACCATTCTGTGATAGGTTAGGGCTCGCTTCTCTTCGGTGTCAACGTCTTTAGGTTTAAAATAGTAGCCTGTGGAAATACGTGGTTCATAAAATAGAACCCAGTGGAAAATACACGGGTCAAAAAGTTATATACTTAAGAAATAAAAAGACAGTAAAATTACAGCATCTAGTAATACAGCTAAAAAAATATTTGCAGTTTAAAAAAACGTATTAAGCAAGAGCTCTTTTTTCGGTTAAGTTGCCTACAGTAAATTCAAATTTATTTTATTTACATTCTGAAAATTCAAATTATTTACAATACCATTCCCTAAATTCAGTTACATCAATTTACCACTCTTCAGATACATGAATTAACCATTCCGTAAATTGAAATGCCATCAATTTACCATTCAGTATATTCAGAATAAATGCCAACACAGGTCCTCCACTGGGTGTGCCAGGGGACAGCACCCTAATTCCATCATTTAGAGTTACCTCCGTTGGTGACGTCTCGCGCACAGTGTAGTTGAACAAGTCCTCGCGGCTGATTATTGCCCCTGAAAATTTAAAGAGGTATAATATGTAACATTATTATTAATTAAATTAACAATAAGTCGTTGCTTGTTTTTTGTTGTTCTTTTTTTGTTTTGTTTTGTTAAGTTTTTTCCTTCTAAAACTATTCTACTGATTGTCACAACCACGGGGTTTTGACCAAAAAAAAACAGGTAAACTCGACTTCACGTATCCCGTCACCTGCACCTCCTGTGTTTCCCACCTAACACTTAGCAATATAACGAACCCATGTCCTGTAAATATTGTATATATATATATATATATATATATATATATATATATATATATATATATATATATATATATATATATATATATATGCGTGTGCGTGTGTGTATTAAACTTTGCTACAGAACATTGAAACATGACCAACCTATGTCCTGTAAATCTTGTAGAATGTCATCCGTCAAAGATCCATTATAAAAAGCTGTCATCCCTTCACGGGAGATAACTCGGAGTGTATTAGCCAGCTTTGGTCTCGTCATTATCTCCCCTTCTTTAAATAACTCTCCAGTTTGATTGTTCAAGAAAACTTCCCTGAAAAAACAAAATAAAACTCCTTAGATTTTTTTTCAGAACCATAATGAACACATACCTTAGAGTAAAACAAACAGAACAAAGTGAATAGTCATTGCATTCTCGTTTCGTTGGAGCTAATGATCATCATACTTAAGTTTGACAGCAAGTTCAACATTACATGTAGCCTACACCACAGTAAAACTACTGCAACTTTGGTGCATTATGGCGTTTGTTCACTGAGAAATTCCTCAAAAGCGTAGCTATATGGTTACATTTTAGTTTTTTTTTTCAAATTTAACTGTTTTAAAAAACTACAAAAAATATATGGAAACGTAACTAATGCATAAATCAAGCGAAGAACATAACAAATAACAAGTCTTATACTATTTATACTAATATAACAATTAATATGTTCAAAGCTTTGACTTGATATTTTGAAACGGATACTGCATACCTTAAAGATGCCTCTTGTAATATCATTGTATTGAAACTTGTGATAATTTTGCCCAAAGAAGGTGTTACAGGAAATCCCTCAGCGGCCATCTTGATTGCGGGTTGAAACAAATCTGACCACGGCAGCCTACCATACTTTTGATGTGCGTACCAGTAGCCTTTGATTTCACCTGGGACGGCTATACTGAGCCCACCTGTTGTATGAAAGATATGAGATACGACATAAAACATCTGGCAGATATGCCACTAAATAAAGTATACAACACATAAATGTGTACTGCTCTATGCCTCAAACAAACACAAAGTTAATAGACAGATCTTCCGCTACCCCCAACAAAGTTACCTGTGAGTGACCTAACATTTGACTGTGAGTGACCTAACACTTACGTGTAAGTGACCTAACATTTACCTGTAAGTGACCTAACACTTACCTGTAAGTGACCTAACACTTACCTGTGACTGACCCAACACTTACCTGTGAGTGACCCAACACTTACCTGTGAGTGACCCAACACTTACCTGTAAGTGACCCAACACTTACCTGTGAGTGACCTAACATTTACCTGTGAGTGACCTAACACTTACGTGTAAGTGACCTAACATTTACCTGTAAGTGACCTAACACTTACCTGTAAGTGACCTAACACTTACCTGTGACTGACCCAACACTTACCTGTGAGTGACCCAACACTTACCTGTAAGTGACCCAACACTTACCTGTGAGTGACCTAGCATTTACCTGTAAGTGACCTAACACTTACCTGTAAGTGACCTAACACTTACCTGTGACTGACCCAACACTTACCTGTGACTGACCCAACACTTACCTGTGAGTGACCCAACACTTACCTGTGAGTCACCCAACACTTACATGTGAGTGACCCAACATTTACCTGTGAGTGACCCAACACTTACCTGTGAGTGACCCAACACTTACCTGTGAGTGACCTGTGAGTGACCCAACATTTACCTGTGAGTGACCCAACACTTACCTGTGAGTGACCTGTGAGTGACCCAACATTTACCTGTGAGTGACCCAACACTTACCTGTGAGTGACCCAACACTTACCTGTGAGTCACCCAACACTTACATGTGAGTGACCCAACATTTACCTGTGAGTGACCCAACGCTTACCTGTGAGTGACCTGTGAGTGACCCAACACTTACCTGTGAGTGACCCAACACTTACCTGTGAGTGACCCAACACTTACCTGTGAGTGACCCAACACTTACCTGTGAGTGACCCAACACTTACCTGTGAGTGACCCAACACTTACCTGTGAGTGACGCAACACTTACCTGTGAGTGACCTGTGAGTGCCCCACCACCTACCTGTGAGTGACCCAACACCTACCTGTGAGTGACGCCTCAGGTCTCCCAGCATACATGTCGGCTGTTGCCCTCCCCGGGGCAGTTTCTCTGGCATCTATCACTGTTGGCACCCCTGTGGTCCTGGTGAGAAAATGTCTGTGATCGAATGACCTGATTCTACAGGTAACTCGTTTATTTTAGAATGACCTGTTTCTACAGGTAATTGATGTTTGTGACAGAATGACCTATTTCTACAGGTAATTCATGTTTGTGACAAAGAGACCTATTTCTAAAGGTAATTCAGGTTTAAACTTAGATGACGCTTTAAAACCCGTCAGATATTTATTTTGAAATACGACAATACTGCTATAATTGTTGTTTTTTTTTAACGGCCGGTCAAAATTGTTAGTGGCCATTAGTCGCACGCACTCATACATACATAGTTTGGTTTTTTGTTTTTTGTTTTTTTTTCCGCTTATAAAATCGATTTTTGCCAGATTTTATTTAAATTTTTTTTTAAATTGATGTAAATCAATGATCATAAGAGCTATGTCCTGTCTACCTGTTGTAGATGGTCATAAAGAAACCTCCACCAATGCCCATAGACTGGGTACAGGCGAGTCCATTACACAGTAGAGCTGCTATAGCGGCGTCTACAGCATTACCTCCCTTCAGCAGGATATCCCTGTAAGAATTTAAGAATGTAGTGAAAACATCAAATTATATCCCTTTATTTGCTGACATTGGTATCGCCGCTTATGAATATACTGGTTTTGCCGGTCAGGGTGTCTATAAAAATAAAATTCTCAGCAGGCGGGGGAGGAGGGGAAGGGGTTTGAAACTTTACTTAATTTTTTTTCTTTTTCTTCCGAGGAGAAGTAGCAGGGATACTTGCTAAGGCTGGAGCGACCCCCCCCCCCCTCCTTCATCAGAAGAGATGCCTGAAAGAAACTCTGGTAGCAGGACCGGCAACTGACGTGTGACGTGCAACTAGCCTCACGTAACACGGTGCTGTCCGCTGTTGTCTGTAGCTCACCAGGTGCACGTGCAACTGGTTTACTCACGCACAGACCTTTTAACTTGTCTATTCCTCAAGGAGTTGGGTTTGAGATAGGTTAAAGCTTAGAGATGCTAGTCGAGTAGGCCTATCTGTTATCTACCTGCCCTTGAATATGCATCCAAACAAACATGTGTAAACACAACATGTGAGTCGATGCAAAAACTCCCAAACTATTCTACACAGTGCATTAATGTTCTTTCTCTAAGCCATGCACGCTAATCTTATCATAAATGCTCTGTTATTAAGTCAAGTACAATAATAATAAACCCTGCTATAATAAACCCAATAGGCCTAACTCCCCACCCTTGACAAAGTTTACATTATAAAACCCAAACAAGTTGTTTGTTTACTTCCCAATGGTTGAGCATTGAGCCGAATCCGCCGCTATTGCTGCCTGTCGGTAGAAGTGATTACCCTTGACTGGTTGGCTGGCTGATGCGTCAGGCGACTGTGTGAAGAAAACCACCAAAAGAACGACAACCGCGGCCAACAGCAGGGACATAACTCCTCCTATAACATATTTCACCCTGAAACATTTTACAAGCAGGATTAACAGTGTAATTCTAGACGCACTGGAACTAGTGTAGAACTGGAATAGTGTTCATAGTTTTTGTATTATTTGTTATGGTTAAGGAGAGGTTAATTAAATCGGTGATATTTGCAGGATTTTGTCATATATGTTTGGTTTTGCGTTTGGATTTGGTTTGTTTTCGTTTGCTTTTTCGTTGTTTTTTTGTGTTGGTATTGGTGTTTGTGTTTGGGTTTGTTGTTAGGTTTTTGTTTTCGTTTGTATTTGTAATTGTGTTAGCGTTATGTTTGCGTTTTGTTGTTTTGGTTTTGGTTGGTTGTGGTTTGGGTGGGCAATGCCGGGTATAGAATGATTACTAAACACACAGGTAATGGTCTTTAACAGAAAGGTTTTATTACAGAAGCCAGAGCAGGGCCTGGCCGGGACGGCTAGTATATATATATATATATATATATATATATATATATATATATATATATATATATATATATATATATATATATATAAGGTCTGGAAGTCTGGAATGTGGCACTATCCTCAAGAGTATTAAAAGCCATTACAATTTGATAATTTAACCCCTGACTGAGTATAGGATACTAAGTAATATAAAATTATAAATATGCAGGGGGTGTAGCCCTACTAAAAATTTAGTGTTATTGGCTAAAATAATGTAGAAGAATAATTGAAATTTGCTTTCTTTGTTTAAATTAATGTTATAAATAAATAAAATAAAACAAATAACTCAATGTAATGACTGGTGTTTAAGCGAATACATTTGAGTGGGAAACATAAAAAATAAACTTACACTTGTTTTCTATACATGCTGTACCAGGACACATCAACAACGGCAGTTACTTCCCTTAACCCTTGACCTCCAGCTCTAACGTGTAGTGTTTGCTACAGGTGTCTCTTTAAATAGCCGGGACAAAAATACAATTATACAGGAGCCTACACTGTGACAGGGCCTTGTTGCTCTCATATGTTCAGGTGTAGGCGGGGGGCGAGGTGTAAGGGGGTGGGGGGTGACTGGTATAGACTAAACTGATTCAAATTGTCTCAACAATTTTACAGATTAATAGTTTCATCTGATGTTTCTCTTGTGTATCTTTATGTGTGTCTAAATGTATATGTTGTCTTGGAGCTATAATTAATTCTTAATAGTTTTTTCAATAAGGGCCCCGAATAATTTTCAGCCTAGAACACAGCCTATATATATATAATGTATATATCAGAAACTTTATCAGCCCCAAAAATTTGTTTTCATTCGTAAAATTCAAGTTGTAATTACATACAGTTTTTTTACGGTTAATTAATTAACAAACATCTGTGATGCTACAGTGCGTGTAATGGCTCAATCGATTTGTTCTGGGCTATAATTAATTAACTAAAGTCCACGGTAACGGCTATATATTTATTACCCTAATTAATGACGGTCTTATACATCTGTCCACAACTCTGAATCCTGAACAACAGCGGCGTTTTCCATTTGTACACAAGGATGTGCCACTAAATATGTTGAGGAAATATATATATATATATATATATATATATATATATATATATATATATATATATATATATATATATATATATATATATGTATATACAAACGTGGTCTCTTCAAAGAGCGACCTCTTCAATCTATATATATGTTACGGTCAAAGCCCGAAGTTGGTCAAAGCACGCATTGGCCGGCCAATGCGCACATTGGCCAATATCGCCTCCCATAGACTGGTCAAAGTCCGAAACTTTGCTTGATTTACTTGATTTTAGCCTTTGGCCGGCCAATCCGCGGACTGGCCATGGTGGACCGGCCAAGTACAAATCAGAAGATTATCTGGCTAGGGACGACCAGCCAAAGTCCGTATTAGAAGATCATGAGCAGACTTTTGGGTTTTTTTTTATATCGTAAGGATTATGAAATTAAGTCTTCATTGATTATTAGTTAAAGTAAATGACAGAAACATTCAAATTATTTTATTCTACTATAGTCTCAATCAATATTATTACTTGTTAGAACAAGTTGAACTTTTATGGTATTTAGAATCACATAGTAGCTTGTTATTTTTAAACTTGCAGCGATTTGTTGTGCACTTGGTTGTGCAATTCCAGCGAGTGTAGCCTTGGCCGCCGGTCAGTGATTGTGAAGATGCGATGGTTCGTCGTGATTTTTTCTCAGTTCCAACGGACGACCATACAGTTGTTTTAGAACACCATGCTAGAACACCATGTTCCGTTCCTAGATTTTAGAAAGCGCCCTCGACGCTCATGACAACTGCAATGACGCTTCGGGGATCACCGCGACCTCTGTAAACATCTGGTATACGGATGCGAACATAATCTCCCACTTCAGCTTGTTTAAAATGTGTATCTGATTTTGTTAGCATCTTAGCACCTTGAGTTTGCAAGCTAGTGTGAGCTGCTAACCTGTTGTCCATGATTTCTTGTTTATTTTGACATAATCTGCAAATAAGACAATAGTCCCCAGTGAATACCTGATGTCTCTAAACAATATTTTATCACATTGTTTCAAGTAATCCCACCTGGAGAATCCACAACATATTACAGGATGAAATACTTTAAATACCACAACCTTTTGTAATAAAATCTCTGTAACTAGTATAACAAAATATTATTGTACAATTTTGTTTATTATTTTGTTCCAGCTCTTGCACTAGTTTTTAGACCACTGCTTTAAAATTAAATTTGACAAACATCCTGAAGAACTACTTTAACCCAACCACAAATCTGAATATTTGATTTTTTACTTTAACATTCATTCTACAAAAAACATAATCCATCATACTTGGTATATTAGCTGTTTTATTTAGACATTTATTAATGAGAAAATACTAGAAAGACACTTGGAATGTAGGAAGAGAACCTTGTTAAATTTTCATTGCATAGAAATAATTTTTTAAATAATTATTTCACAATTTGCTTTCAATTCTTTACATCAAAGTAAAAGAACAAGATTTTCAAATCAATAAAAACTGAAGATAACTATAAGAAAACAATCAAAGCTAAAAATTTCAACAATTTTTTTTCATAAAATAAAAGATGTACACAACTATCTTAAAATTTTTTGATCATCTCTGTGTTAATTTAATTTAATTGACAACTGCTTGTTTGAATGACAGGATATTTGATTTAAAATAAATATCAAAATGTGTGAGTAAAAAAGCACTCGGCTGCAACATCAAATGTACCAACAACTATGGCACGGATAAGATGTGGTAAAACATGAAAAAATATGGAAAACATACGGAAAACATGGCAAAAATATGGAAAACATACGGAAAACATGGAAAAAATATGGAAAACATGGAAAAAATATGGAAAACATGGAAAAAATATGGAAATCATGGAAAAAATATGGAAATCATGGGAAAAATATGGAAATCATGGAAAAAATATGGAAAACATACGGAAATCATGGGGAAAATATGGAAAACATGGAAAAAATAAGGCAAACATATGTAAAATGTGAAAAGATTGAGAAACAGGATTGTGAGACTGAAGCCGTTAAAAAAACTGTCTTAAAAAAGTAATTATAATTACACATTTCATAACCAGATTCTCACATCAGATAATCACATCCAATCATACAGTAAAACACTTTTTTATTTTTAATAACCACATTCTCACATTTAACAATCACATTCTCACATGAGATAATCACATCCAAACATACAGTAAAACACTTTTTTATTTTTAATAACCACATTCTCACATTTAACAATTCACATCAGTATGTAAGCTAATCACTAAGACAAAATGCCACTAAATTTTTTTTTACCAAAACCACATTCAATATCACAGCCCTACCATTAAAACTAAAGCTGATCGCTATCTGAGAGAACCAAATATATATATAACAATGAAAATATATCTGAGAGAACCAAATATATATATAACAATGAAAATATATCGGAGAGAACCAAATATATATAACAATGAAAATATCCAAAATCTGCAGATCAAAGAAGTACATCTATATCAAAAGAACCATATAACTTGATTCAACATTCCACAACACACCCATCCTAATGATCAAGTAAGGATGGTAACATCAGGTAAGGATGGTAACATCAGGTAACAGACACAAACTGTTATCTTTCACACAGATAAAAACACATTTTTAAAATAAATTTAAAATTCAACCTAGGATGAATATAGTTATCTGGATATATATTTTAAGATACGCTTATAACTAAATCAAACATAATAGTATTAGTGAAAACATAGTTACCAGAATATTTGAGAGAAATAATACAAACAATAAAATAACTACAAAGGCACCATCTTGGATTTGATCTACATATTGCAAGCCTTCTGTTCTGTTCACATTGAGATCAGTCAAAACAAAATAAACAAAACATTTCCACCAAATCTCAGATTCTCTTGTTTAAAAACCAAATCACTGCCTGACACTAGTATGTGAGTTTGTCTTCTTAAAAGTCATAAACAGCACATACTTGCATAATTGTAAGCAGAACATACATTGTTTAATAAAATCACATTTGCAATTCTTCAGTAATCTAAAAACACCCTGTATCTGTGATTGTATCACAAAAATCATAGAAAAGGACCATCAATGGAATGTTATTTAACAATCACAAAACAGGTGACAAAAGTTGCTTCCCTGACTAAGATATACAGTAAGGATAAATTGATCTAAGTTAATTAATCTCACAATAAAAATCTAAATTACTGACCATCAGGTCACTTTCTCACCGAGATGATAAAAATAAAACCACACTGTGTGTCTACCAAAAGTTCATGACAGCCTAACCAACATACATCAATCTATCTGTTCCCTTACAAGCCACTAGTACAGAGATAATTATGCAAATGGACTGGGTCCTCAGCCAGTTCATCATAATTCTTGGACCTGGCCAGTTATCTCCCTGTTACATGAGCACCTGTTACACAATACCGCTGGTAAGTAGTTCACCAACCAGTTCTACAGCTCAATAAAACCTGCATGAGCCATAGAACTGATTGTTGACCTACTTACCAGCCCTATACCCAACACAATTTAACAAGTTGACATGTGACCCAGGCTAGTGACCTCTGACCCAGGCTAGTGACCTCTGACCCAGGCTAGTGACCTCTGACCCAGGCTAGTGACATCTGACCCAGGCTAGTGACCTCTGACCCAGGCTAGTGACATCTGACCCAGGCTAGTGACCTCTGACCCAGGCTAGTGACCTCTGACCCAGGCCAGTGACCTCTGACCCAGGCCAGTGACCTCTGACCCAGGCCAGTGACCTCTGACCCAAGCCAGTGACCTCTGACCCATGCCAGTGACCTCTGACCCAGGCCAGTGACCTTTGACCCAGGCCAGTGACTTCTGACCCAGGCTAGTGACCTCTGACCCAGACTAGCACCCACTTCCTCAATCCAAACTTCACAACACATTATCTTCACACAACAGAATCACAGCCTATATCAAACACATGGGGACATGACCTTTGACCTATTAGAAGCCAGCTGGGACCCCACCCTTCCTGTAGTCACTATCAGGATAGATCCTACTGTCTACAACATTGATACCCTGGACTATAGACTTCCCAGTTGGATATTCTGTTACATTGTGCCCAAACGTGGTGAATCTCTTGACAATGTCCTGAAAAATTAACCGTTTTTATTTATAAATAATGTATTAAATAACATTATTAATTAATATATAGTGCATACAATACATAAATTTAAATGATGTCATAAATTAAGCTCATATTATACTGCCTTTTGAAAAATAAATTGCAGAATTTTTTTACTTAACAGATTTCTTATTGAATATTTTTAAACATGGTGTAATACTTTTAAGTTATTTATAAAACAAACATGACAAACTAATGGAGATTACATATAGCAATCAGTGTCAAGATATTGTAAAATAAATTGTTTACATAATCAAAAAATTCTTGAAATAAATTAACACAAAAAAACTTACTGAATTAAAACCGGTCTCAAATTCAATCCTTGGAGGAAGAAGCTGGTGATGGAGGCGGGGGCTATCTACTGCTGGCTTTATGCTGTCACCAAACCAAAGTATATGTGCTGCCACCTGGGGGGGGAGAGATTTAGTTTTTGGTTAATAAAAGTTCAAAAGTTGCCAAATATCCTGGGGCTGAGGAGATTTTTATTTTGGCTACAAACATCTATAGTTGCTAGATGTACAGAACTGTATACAAGTTGCCAGATGTACAGAACTGTATACAAGTTGCCAGATGTACAGAACTGTATACATGTTGCCAGATGTACAGAACTGTATACAAGTTGCCAGATGTACAGAACTGTATACATGTTGCCAGATGTACAGAACTGTATACATGTTGCCAGATGTACAGAACTGTATACAAGTTGCCAGATGTACAGAACTGTATACAAGTTGCCAGATGTACAGAACTGTATACAAGTTGCCAGATGTACAGAACTGTGTACAAGTTGCCAGATGTACAGAACTGTATACATGTTGCCAGATGTACAGAACTGTATACAAGTTGCCAGATGTACAGAACTGTATACATGTTGTCAGATGTACAGAACTGTATACAAGTTGCCAGATGTACAGAACTGTATACATGTTGCCAGATGTACAGAACTGTATACATGTTGCCAGATGTACAGAACTGTATACAAGTTGTCAGATGTACAGAACTGTATACAAGTTGCCAGATGTACAGAACTGTATACAAGTTGCCAGATGTACAGAACTGTATACATGTTGCCAGATGTACAGAACTGTATACAAGTTGCCAGATGTACAGAACTGTATACATGTTGCCAGATGTACAGAACTGTATACATGTTGCCAGATGTACAGAACAGGAACCAGACTGAGACATACAAACAACTGACCCAGGCTGTGGCTGTTGTGACATGTCAGACAGACTCACAGACAAACAGACAGACAAACAACTGACCCAGGCCGTGGCTGTTGTAATCTTTGATCCACCTGCGGCGCCCAGAACTTTTGACACCTGGCCATCCCGGTCAATGAAAATGGCAGGACACATAGATGACAGGGGCCTTTTCCCTGGTTGTATGAAATTGGCAGGGGACGGCCGGATGCCCCACTCGTTAGTAATGTTTGGTGCACTGAAGTCATCCATTTCATCGTTAAAGATTATCCCTGTCTTCATGCCACGACGCTGTGAGCCAAACCTGGATGCGGCAAAGTTTTATAATCGTTGAGTTGGTGATAATTAAACTAATGAGTAGTTTACAGTTCAGGGACCAGCCCACAATGTCTAAACAACAAAGCTCAAATTTCTAATTAAACTTGCTGTTAGATACAGTATGATTGTATTTAACTATGAGGCTATGAGCAAGTTAATGATTGGTGTTATGATTGGGGCTATGATTGAGTATGGTGGATGCTCTATTGGTGTTGTAAGAATGATTGGTGCTCTAGTTTGGTTAATGATTGGTAACTCAACTGAGCCTGTCTTTGTTGCTATACCTAAGGTGGTGCCAACAATTAATGAACTGTCTGATAAGGTATGCAACATTACATTTTAACACTGCTTTTGTATATATATTACATAACTTAAGCTCACTAAAGCTGAGTTGAAATGTTCCATGTACCTGGCATTTATTACATAACTTAAGCTCATTAAAGCTGAGTTGAAATGTTCCATGTACCTGACATTTATTAGATAACTTAAGCTCATTAAAACTGAGTTGAAATGTTCCATGTACCTGGCATTTATTACATAACTTAAGCTCATTAAAGCTGAGTTGAAATGTTCCGTGTACCTGACATTTATTATATAACTTAAGCTCATTAAAGCTGAGTTGAAATGTTCCATGTACCTGGTTAGATAACTTAAGCTCATTAAAACTGAGTTGAAATGTTCCATGTACCTGGCATTTATTACATAACTTAAGCTCATTAAAGCTGAGTTGAAATGTTCCGTGTACCTGACATTTATTACATAACTTAAGCTCATTAAAACTGAGTTGAAATGTTCCATGTACCTGGCCTTTATTACATAACTTAAGCTCATTAAAACTGAGTTGAAATGTTCCGTGTACCTGACATTTATTACATAACTTAAGCTCATTAAAACTGAGTTGAAATGTTCCATGTACCTGGCCTTTATTACATAACTTAAGCTCATTAAAACTGAGTTGAAATGTTCCGTGTACCTGACATTTATTACATAACTTAAGCTCATTAAAACTGAGTTGAAATGTTCCATGTACCTGGTTAGATAACTTAAGCTCATTAAAACTGAGTTGAAATGTTCCGTGTACCTGGCATTAATTGTACTGGTTACTGACACAGCACTGCCATCCTGGTCAAGGACTGACAGGTGTGAGGTGCCAGTTGTAGCAGGTGAGTAATAGGTGGGGCCGTAGTACAGGTAGTCAAAAGTTCTGGAGTCAGAGATCTGCTTCCGTATGCTGTCAGCATAGTCTCTGGATGTCAAGTTGTGAATCAGCTGAAAATGTGAAAATAACAACAAAACATTGGAAATGAGAAAATAAAAATGTGAAAATAAAAATTGAGGATAATAAATCTCAAATAAAAAATAATTTTTTTTAAGAAAAAGGCTTTTATATTCACAAATCACAAAATGTTCACAAATTTTAAAAATTGCACTACAAAGTAAAAAATAAATAAAAGTCTGAGCTTTCGATAAAGGTGTCTTATATTATGTTATAGAACATACACCCAGCAATGAGCTCCATCTGAAAGGGATTATATTTACTTTTGGTAATCAATAAATGACCTCTACCATGTAAACTAATTACCTCAACCATTTCAACAAATTACCTCAACCATGTCAACAAATTACCTCTGTCATCTCAACAAATTACCTCTGCCATCTCAACAAATTACCTGTCATCTAAACTAATTACCTCTGTCATCTCAACAAATTACCTCTGCCATCTCAACAAATTACCTGTCATCTAAACTAATTACCTCTGTCATCTCAACAGATTACCTCTCCCATGTCAACAAATTACCTCTGCCATCTCAATAGTCATCTCAACAGATTACCTCTCCCATGTCAACAAATTACCTCTGCCATGTCAACTAATTACCTCTGCCATCTCAATAGTCATCTCAACAGATTACCTCTCCCATGTCAACAAATTACCTCTGCCATGTCAACTAATTACCTCTGCCATCTCAATAGTCATCTCAACAAATTACCTCTACCATGTCAACTAATTAGCTCTGCCATCTCAACTAATTACCTCTACCATGTCAACAAATTACCTCTGCTATATCAATAAAGCTGTCATCGCCAAGGGCTGTCCTCTTTGCGTAAGCAAATTTAAATGTTTCAATCATGCGGTGATAATTCAGAGCTCTCTTCTCCACTGTGTTAACATCCTCTGGTGTCAAATAGTAACCTTAAACAAAAGTTTTCAAAAAAAAAATTTTAATTCATCTGTTATAGGATACAAACAAAATATCAACAGTCATCCCATAGGCTTTTGATATTAAGCTAAAACATTTTTTTAAATCTTATTTTCAGTCACGTTTTTTTTTTTTTATTTTGTCCAACTGAAGAAAATATGAAAGGTATGTGAGATCATGTAATTGAACACATACCATCCAGGACATTGAGAATAAAATATATTTGAGACCATGTAATTGAACACTTACCATCCAGGACATTGAGAATAAAAGACAACACAGGTCCACCACTGGGAGCAGGAGGGGAAACAACTTTGATTCCATCTTTGATAGTTATCTCCACTGGTTTTTTCTCCAAAACTTTATAATTAATTAGATCCTCTCTAGTTATTATTGAACCTAATAAAATTGTAAATACATTTGAAATTACTATTTGCAAAATAACAGTTCTAATTATATAACTATTCATTAAACAAATAAAAAATACATGTGTATTAAATGCTCAACATAAAAATAATTTTTAAAAACTTGATGCAGAATAGCATTACAAATAGAAAAAAGTAAACTTTGTATTAGAAAAGAGAAACAAGGTAATTAAAAAGTCTAGTGACAATTTTAGCGCAATTTCCTTATGTTATCTAAAAATAGCTCTGTCGTAGCGTAAATCAAGAGCAGGGTTAGTAAAACCATTGGTTAGTTATTAAAACGTTTTTTATGAATTTTTTTTTTCAGTATTTTACATGTTTTATTTACAATAGAGTTACATGACTAAAAACCATTGCGCGCCTAGCTACTGAACGTGATGACGCAGCCATTGAACGTGATGGCGCAGCTATTGAACGTGATGACGCGTGTGGTGTGGTTGGATAAACATACCTACTAATTCTGTCCAAATTTTAATTAATTCAAAAAATTTTTTGTGACCAAACGAAAGGATATTTTTGAAAACTTTCTTCGGCAATATTGTTCTAAATTATGGCAGGAATCGATTGGTACATGTTTCAAGTCGCTAAGTGGTCTGGTTGCCGAGATATGGGCCGAAAACTGCATTTTTTGAGGTTTTTTGGCTTTTCCGGGAAATCCATGAAAGAAACCTGGAATTTTTATGGCCTATGTTCATCCTCGTAACTTGCTTAACATAATTGCTTTTGGAACTAGTCATCAATATTGCTTCGTTGAGGAGGAGATACGACTTAAAGCTGCGGACACACATTCATACATCCATGCATCCATCCAGAAATGACGGGTTAAAAACGCAATTCTCCAGAATGGAAATTGCGCTAAAAAGTAAACATTGTATTAGAAAAGAGAAAAAAGTAGTCCTACTAAACACAGACATTGAACATTCACATTTTTTACATGACACAAAGGTTTCCAGTCCACAGTTTTAAATTTAACTAATGAAACAAACAAGTCTAAAAATAGCTGACCTATATCCTGCAAGTCCTGCATTATATCGTTTGTTAAAGACCCATTGTAAAAAGCTATCATTCCTTCATTGGCAATAACTCTGAGAGATTGAGCTAACTGGGGTCTCTTCATTATCTCCCCTAGTTTAAACAGCTTTCCTGTGGCTTTGTTTACAAATACTTCCCTAAAAAATAAACACATCAGAATCAAGTTAAAGTAAGGTACTGTTTGAGACATGATCATCCACAGGGCAGGTTAAGTGAGTTTCTTGACTTATACCAAATAAAGGTAGAGTGTGGTCAGCAATAAGCCACATGAAGGTATAGTGTGATTGGTCAGTACTATGCCACATAAAGGTCAGCATTATGCCACTTTAAGCTAGTGTGGTCAGAACTATGGCACACAAAGGTATACTGTGGTCAGCACTTTGCCCACTTATCTTTACTTTCTCCAACGAGAATCAGGTATCCAAAGTAGCTGGGTAGACTCAGTGGCTGAAACTTTCAGGTTAGCAATTAAATGATCTACCACAACTCTGTCCAATGGAAACAGCGGCCTAGCAATAGAGCGCTCAACTGTTAACCTGAAAGTCTTGAGTTCGAATCCACCCAGTTCTAATGGGTACCTAACTCATGTTAGGGAAGGTAAAGGCGGCTGGGCAAAGTGCTGACCACACTATCCCTTCACAAAAAAAAGGGTAGGAAAGGGAACTTTAATTTTTTTACTCTGTCTTATATGATATATATATATATAATGTTAGAGTATTTGTGATTGTATTTTATTTCCTTAGCTCTGATCGACATTTAACCAATTAAAAGTGTTAAACAAAAAGATTCTCCCGCAGCTTACTTTAATGACGGCTCCTGCGTCAAAAATGTTTCACCATCTTTCAATGCATTATGTAAACCAATAGGCACAGGAAATCCCTCAGCGGCCATCTTGATGGCTGGTTGAAACAAATCTGACCACGGCAGCCTGCCATACTTTTGATGTGCGTACCAGTAGCCTTTGATTTCACCTGGGACGGCGATACTCAAGCGTCCTGTTGGAGTAAAACAATGGAAAACATATAAACTCCACTTTAAACAGTCATTAATTGTATGGTTGGGACAGTGAGAAGTAAGCTGTACACATCATCATTTATAGCTATATTTCTCAATGTTAAGGGACAGATTTTGTAGTAAAAAAAAATATTTTGAAGTATATTAGCCCCAGAAATCTGTCAAACTAGCAGTTAAAAAACTATCTACAGGACAAAGCTGTCACCTAGCACTAAAAAAAAACACACTAGACAACAGAAAATTGTCACCCAGCAGTAAAAAAAAAACACAGAACAACAGAAAAATGTCACCCAGCAGTAAAAAAAAACCAGAAAAATGTCACCCAGCAGTAAAAAATCATTGACTGACCAACAGCTGAAGCACTCCTGTCTCCAGCAAACATGTCTGCTGTGGCTTTAGCTGGGGCAGTTTCTCTGGCATCTATCACAGTTGACAGACGTGTTGTCCTGTAGAAAGCCAAATTTAAATCCACATTAACTCCTTTTTAGCCTACTTTTTAATTCTCTTAGAATTGGCTGATCTAAACACCATATTTTACCTACAAATGTACCATAAATAAACCAAATTTATATGCATATATACTTATATATATATATATATATATATATATATATATATATATATATATATATATATATATATATATATATATATATATATATATATATATTGGCTTATAGATAAGTAGATAAGTGACATTTTGTATAGTTTAAATGCTGATGCTAATATTAGCATTAAATATTTGTACAGGTAGTGGAAAGATCAATGTAATATTAACTTCTAAAGAAAACTTTAAACCACACCTGTTGTAGATGGTCATGAAGAAACCTCCACCAATGCCCATAGACTGGGCACTTGTGAGACCTGTACATAGCAGGGCAGCGATGGCAGCGTCCACAGCATTGCCACCTTTCTGGAGAATGTCCCTAAGATTAAAACATAAATAAATATTCATCTGTAGTCACCTTCAAACAGAGGACCAGTCTAGTTTTTTTTTTTAAATTATTGTTTCCAGAAATTAACTTGTAAGATTTACTTTGTTTAGGGAACCTTTTGTCCTCAGATATTGTTACTGGGATATCTTTACCTTAAGATATTTCATGTCAGTAATTATGTCTGTTATTGACTTAAAAAATTGTCATCTATTTGTGCTATACCCACTGTAATCCAATGATGGTCTTAGCCTGTGCTCAATGCTGTTCACAGGTTGGCTCTGTGCCCCCCCACCCACCCACCCCCCCCCCCCCCCCCCCAATGGTGTAATTAAGTCTGCTTTTGTCCCACAGATTTATATATGTAATCTTTTTCAGCTATTTAATAATAGAATTATGTTGTCATTTAAATTTCCTGCCCATAGAATTATGTTGCCCATTAGTCTTTAGACTCAGAAACTTCGAAGTAAATAATTCCATTGTAGAGAATACATTTTGAATAGAAAGTGATGACATTACTTACAAAAATTTTATTCGGCTGACCCCCACAAAGCTAATGAACAACTCACAATTAATGAACAAACTGCCCTCACACACGTATAAGATGGCTACTTAACACCTATAAGATAACACCCACACAGCTATCAGATGACCAATACATGCCTAGGGCGACCCCCACACCACTACTAAATGCCTCCCATCCCCCCTCCCACAGCTAACCTTTAACCCTACACCCCTCAACACAGAGCCCATGAAAGCATCTTACTTCCCAACAGTGGAGCACTGCGCTGAATCAGCCGCCACTGATGCATGTTGGTAGCCTTGACTTTCTGCTGGACTGTCCTTCTGCTCTCTGACCACAAACACCACCAGCACCACCACTGCCGTGGCTATCACTAGAGACACGAGGCCGGCTATGGTCACCTTCACACTGCCAGGTTAAACAAAGGTGGAGATAATGTATTAGTCCACTCACAAAAGTGTCCAATGATCAAAATTATAAGAAAAAATGTGTCAAATGATTAAATTACTAAGAAAAAAATGTGTCAAAAGATCAAACTACTAAGAAAGATTAAATTACTAAGTGAAAATGTGTCGGACGATTAAACTACTAAGAAAAAGTGTGTCAAAAGATCTAATTGCTAAGAAAAATAAAAGCTTCCAGTGATCAAATTACTAAATCTTCAGCTCTTTGCATTCGTAGAATCAACCAACTACCAGATCTCAGTGCAGATCCAGGAAGTAACAGTCCCACAAATCTGAACTTCTTATTTGCCTGACATACAGATCTAGCCTACTCTAGATCAGTATCAACCTTAACCTACTCAGCAGCAAAGACTAAAGAGATGCCTGAAAGATACGGTTGACATGTAGTGTCTATGGGAACAAGTATCTTACAAACGACCTTCTGATGCTACAGCTATAGTGTGGTAAGGCCAAGGTATGAGTATCTAGCTTAAATGAAACAGAGCACACTCATTTCTACCTAGATCTATATCTTATTATCTAGCTGTAGTGTAAAAGAAAATAAAATACTTAAAAAAAACTTTTTAAAAAACCACGTTTTTCTTGTGGACTAAAAAGTAGAAAATAAATTTTTCTTTTGTGCTTCCTCGAGCTGTGCAGGTTCTTGTGATGACTGACAAAAAACGTGGGTACGTTCACCATCAAATTTCCCGACCCATCTGCCCGACCCACGTTTTTTGTCAGTCATCACAAGAACCTGCACAGCTCAAGGAAGCACAAAAGAAAAATTTATTTTCTACTTTTTAGTCCACAAGAAAAACGTGGTTTTTTAAAAAGTTTTTTTTAAGTATTTTATTTTCTCCTTTTTAGTCCGTTGCTACACATGAAAAACGTGGTTTTTAAAAAAGTTTTTTATATAGTTTATTTTCTACTTTATCTAATGACTTGATTAAGTATGACTTGACTAAGTGTTTATAAATACACGGACTAAAAAAAAATCTTGAGCGACCAGGATTCGAACCTGGGTTGTCGCGGCCACAACGCGAAGTACTAACCGCTATACGATCACGGCCAGCGCGCTCACATCGATTGGGGCCGAAGTAACTGTGGCAATAGGCCTCCAGTCTTGTCGGTATCTTTAGAAATCATGTCCTCGATTTTATGGTCCTTGGGGCGTAATTAAATTAAGTTAATTACGGTCTTTAATTGCTAGTTTTTATGATTGCATCTGAAATTGTTAGGCGAAAGTAGCCTACATGCCAAATTTCAGATCTGTAGAGCAATCAGAAGTGGGCTAATTTTCGATGTCAATTTTAACAACAAACAAACAAATCCACAAATCCACAAACGCGAAGCTGAGTTAAGAAAAACGTGTTAATAATAAAAAAAAAAAAGAACGTTTGTATCTAAGCCAGCTGTGAACCTCGGCACACCGACCAAAACTCAAACCTCGAGGTCTTTCCTCGGTCCACCAACTGTTCCTGCTCACGCATACTTCAATGGATAGGAGACCTTTTAAAAGTATCTCAACACACAGACTGGGTCCACCTACTGGTCCTGCTCATGCATACTTCAATGGATAGGAGACTTTTTAAAAGTATCTCAACACATAGACTAGGAAGATCGCGATCCTTTTCGAAATGTCTGAACTTGATCTGTTTTCCTACCAGCCAACATTTGATCGCACGTTCTAAACGCAGATAATTTGGTGCAGCCGCACCAAAAAATAAATGCTGATTTATTTTTAAGTCCGTGCAGTCGAATATAAGAAATGCGGTGGTTGCTTTTTTTTCTCCTTAACAATAAACGAATACAAGAATGACTTCTTGTCCTTAGCGGTGGATTCTTTTATTTTTCCCTAATGTGTAACGAGTAAAATTAAAATTTAGATCACACAGTAGGATATAAGCGAAGATCATTTCGGCCAGTGTTTCTTCCAGACTTTTTTCTCCGGGGGGGGATGGGCACTTGAAATTTTCGGGGGGGGGGGGGGTGGACACTGTTAAAAGTATATATTTTCCATATAAATTTCATTTCGTTCAGGGGGGGGGGCGGTAAAATATTTTCGGGGGGGGGGGGTGAAGAAACTCTGATTTCGGCTACTGTCGCTGTTCTAAAGCTGAAAAAAAACTAATCACTAACCCTAACCTAACCATTACAATATCACTAACCATGTCTTGACCCTAACCTAACCATTACGATATCACTAACCATGTCTTGACCCTAACCTAACCATTGCGATATCAGTAACCATGTCTTGACCCTAACCTAACCTTTGCGATATCACTAACCATGTCGACCCTAACCTTGACCTTAACCCACGAGCGGGAACATATATTACGTTTAAAAAATCGACAGTTTTATCTAGATCTCGTGAGATTCACGGTCTGCAGGAACGAGTGAACGTGAGGAAAGTTTCTATATTTGGACCGTTGTTGATAATTTGCGTACATAATTAAACTAAAGCTCGCCTAACTTTGAAACAAAATAATTGGTTAATGCCTCAATGCTTAGAGTCGCCAACAATAAAGGTCTACGTTTTTTTTTTTAATTTTAAAAATAAAACTCTTCCAAAAGGGCAGTAAAAAAAGTATATTCACTCCAACCTATCCTCCCCCCCCCCCCAAAAAAATTATTAAGATACCAAAATTATAACATTATATCAGAGGCGTAGCGACCCTTCCCGGCGCCCGGGGACAAACTTTCAATTGGGGACAAACTTTCAATTTGGCGCCCCCCCCCCATATATTTTTATATTTATAATGCAAAACTGCAGCTAAAATGAGCTTTTAGTTTGTTTTTTACAACCCATTTTGGCGCCCCCTAGGGTCGGCGCCCGGGGGCATATGTACCCCTACCCCGTCGCCCCCCCCCCCCCCCCCCCCCCATCGCTACGCCTCTGCATAATATTTACAAAGAGTAAATATTACAAGACATTGGAATTTAACGTTGAGGTTTTTACTAGATTCTAGTTTACATGAACAAAGTGTCTATTCAAACCTTAGTGTACACACTGAGAAATACCCAAAAGGCCGACTAAGTATACACGTCTTGCATACCTATATGTTGTTTTAACTTTGATCCTTTAGATACCGTTCTACATTGGTTAAAAATAGCACGAGCACAAATTAGGCCGAACAAACTAAATAAACTAGCCGAATGTGGCTCGGCTCGACGCCTTGTCTAAACTGTGACTCAACACTGACGCTAGGTCATGACTCCAGAAATTTTTACATTTAAGAAAACTGAAAATTTTCAATAAACTGAAATTGGTATCAACATTTCAGAAAACTGAAAGTGGTTTCAATATTTCAGATAAATAAAAGTGGTTTCAATATTTCAGAAAAATAAAAGTGGTTTCAACATTTCAGAAAAATAAAAGTGGTTTCAACATTTCAGAAAAATAAAAGTGGTTTCAACATTTCAGAAAAATAAAAGTGGTTTCAACATTTCAGAACACTGACAGTGGTTTCAACATTTCAGAAAAATAAAAGTGGTTTCAACATTTCAGAAAAATAAAAGTGGTTTCAATATTTCAGTAAAATAAAAGTGGTTTTAACTTTTCAATAAACTGAAAGTAGTTTCAACATTTCAGAAAAATAAAAGTGGTTTCAATATTTCAGAAAAATAAAAGTGGTTTTAACTTTTCAATAAACTGAAAGTAGTTTCAACATTTCAGAAAAATAAAAGTGGTTTTATTATTTCAGAACACTGACAGTGGTTTCAACATTTCAGAACACTGACAGTGGTTTCAACATTTCAGAAAAATAAAAGTGGTTTCAACATTTCAGAAAAATAAAAGTGGTTTAAAAGTGGGTTTCAACATTTCAGAAAAATAAAAGTGGTTTTCAACATTTCAGAAAAATAAAAGTGGTTTTAACTTTTCATTAAACTAAAAAGTAGTTTCAACATTTCAGAAAACTAAAAGTGGTTTCAACATTTCAGAAAAATAAAAGTGGTTTTTAACTTTTCAATAAACTAAAAGTAGTTTCAACATTTCAGAAAACTAAAAGTGGTTTCAACTTTTATTAATCAACCACTATTTAGTATGGGGGGGGGAGGAAAAACAACACAAAAATGACGTTGCATACTGTTTAAGACAAGCTAGATTTCAGTTCGTAATGACACCGTTATTAACCGCGATAACATGCCACCCCCCCCCCCCCCTTACTTGCATTACAGTCATTTAGCTGCCGATATATTTACCCTTTATCCGTATAAATACTTGCTAGTCACGTACCAAACAATAGTTGTCTATAGACACAGTTACGTCCCTGCGCGGGCATGATAAAGCAAACTTTGACAGCAATCAAATGTCTACCGGTTGTAACTACTGGTGTCATGGACGTCTGTCTTTTGGTCTAACCCTCTGGTTTTTATGTCAACTTTTTAAAACTAGTTTCATTGTGCCTTTTTTCTGCTCTGTTTTTAATAATTTTCCGTTGACCAACTACTTCGGACGACATAACCGAGATCCTTAAAACACTGGCAAGAATGTTTGCAAAGTTCCATTCACCAACAGTTAGGACAGCATTTGTGGCGAGTTTTTCTTTTCAAGTGTCTGACCCAAACACGAGTATACACCTTAAACTGTTGAGTCATGCCACAATATTCCTGGTCGGGACGTTTGTTATAAGAACGTGGGAACAATATATATATATATATATATATATATATATATATATATATATATATATATATATATATATATATATATATATATATATATATATATAATGGAAATGTATATCCGAGTAGAGAAGTTACTGTTATTTATTAATCCAGGTGTATAATTAGAGAACTACTATTTAACAAAAGTTGACAATGTTTACAACAACGACGAGGGTTGTAAAAGGCCTTC